TATTTTTTTTTAATTATACCGATTTTATTTATTTTTGTTATACGATCTGCAGATTATGAGTCAGTTATTTAAGTATACGTTTTCTGGGAATTTGAAAGTAAATATATTTGACGCAAGGGTTTTTAACACCGAAGGTGTTTTTGTTTAATATTACTATTATATTGTAATCACAACGCGCTAACTTCATATTGAATTGAACAGCACACGACCGTCAGAATGTCCATGAAATCCACAAATCGCTGCACCAAACAAATTATATCATATACGATCACACACCGTGAAACTACCACACAATCAGAAAACACAAGACGTAGAACACTATGATCATGTGGTGTCATTCACACCAACATCCCACCACCCCAACCATACCACCGAACCGACATCTACATTCCAACCGACCACCCCACGTACAACACAGGTCTCTCCTCCCGACACCGAATACACCTAATCGCATTACACAATACACACCGCGAAGAACACTTTCTCCTACACCAGATATGCAACCCGCACCGACACGACGTACCCCCCCCACACACACACACACACTCACACGCGCGCGCGCGCGCGCGCGTGCGCACACGCTATATGCACGATAATAGAAAATTGGGACGATGAGATTGGCATACGTGACACCACAAGGTACACTTCATACACACCACCGACGACCGATCTGTATACGCTGTGACGAATGACAAGAACGAGGGGGATAGGTTCCGGGTTCGCAGCGCCCGGACGATCACTCGTCACCTTCGCCGGATCGTCTAGACGGATCCGTTCAAGCCACTAAGAGATTTCCCGGTTTCGGGAACGAGACACGAAGTTGGGCGCCAGGCCTCCCTGGAGGCTAAAGCAACAGAATCTCAACTCTCGACAATCTCAGAAACGCAAAATTCTTGAACAAAACTCAAAATACTAGACTCGAACAATCTCCGCATCTACAATCGTCGCGATGCGGCTGGCTAGCACAGAGCGCACGCGTCAGGTTCGGAGAGAGCGGGGTAAGACCAGACTACGGCTGTATGAACCCCATAATTGCGTGGAGATCAACTGTCGACTTGGATGTGAAGCTTTTAATTATAAAGACCTGCATTAAGACAATCATAGATTACCGCAAAATTCCCCTGCTCTAAAGAATATCGAAGTCGAATTGACGAAAAATTGAGAGAAAGTACAAGTAAATTTTAAAAAAGGCTGCACAATTTCCCCGTAGCTGCTCACCGCAATACTATGAGAAATCCTGGACGAGGATCCGCCACATCTTCGGTTGTCGGATTTTCAAAGAACCCGGCTAGAAAAATTCAAAATGCACAATGTGGATGCCTTATTACCAGAGCCCATTATGCAACAACGTCTGAGACATCATCGAATGCTCCACCCGACAACGAGACTATCTGGAGCAGTCACCCCAATGGTTGATCGAAAAACCTTGTAACTCCAGTTATCTAAGAGGGAGCCGCAGCACTAACGGTGGCTACTTATTCAGAAATTAAGAATACATCTCACAAATTACCTCACTTAAACTCACTTACCGCCCATCTACTGAACACCATCTGTACACGAAACATCTCATCCAAACAAAAAGCCTGAGGATTTATGCCCGAGAAAAGCTCTGTTGCCCAGAAGAAATCCCCGGTCAGGGTTAGTAACAAAAACGTAACAGTAGGGAGAAACCGTGAGTGCTGTTTGGAGCGCACAGCCGTGGTCGTGCAACCTCAAACACTTTATTCCAAGTGTATTAACCATTTGCACTTCTATGTCGAGTGCGACTCGTCAATTACACGGCGATTTCAGAAACTTGAAGCGCAAAAAGTTAATACTTACTATGTATCCTGAAATAGGACGGATTAGACCCCGCAATATGCACCGTCTTTCCCTCACTGTCGTGAGTCCGAGTCGCGTCAGAATTTCCCAGGATTGTGTTCAAAAGGAATAAGAATTAAGGATGCGATGGCTACCACATCTCGACGTGCGTGGCACGTCTTTATAGCGCAAGTGGTTAAAAGCCGGCCGTGGCCCGAAACCCGGGAAAGCGACGAAGACCAACACCGATCGGCGTCGNACAAAAAGCCTGAGGATTTATGCCCGAGAAAAGCTCTGTTGCCCAGAAGAAATCCCCGGTCAGGGTTAGTAACAAAAACGTAACAGTAGGGAGAAACCGTGAGTGCTGTTTGGAGCGCACAGCCGTGGTCGTGCAACCTCAAACACTTTATTCCAAGTGTATTAACCATTTGCACTCCTATGTCGAGTGCGACTCGTCAATTACACGGTGATTTCAGAAAGTTGAAGCGCAAAGAGTTAATACTTACTATATATCCTGTAATAGGACGGATTAGACCCCGCAATATGCACTGTCTTTCCCTCACTGTCGTGAGTCCGAGTCGCGTCAGAATTTCCCAGGATTGTGTTCAAAAGGAATAAGAATTAAGGATGCGATGGCAACCACAATGGCAGAGATCGCTGGATTTGGAATTTACTTTAGAATTTTTCCTCTGTGTCAATTTTATTTCATAAATGATTGTCGGATTCCGGCTTACTCCGGTTCTTCCTCTATCTACTCGCGCTTATAACTTCTGTCCAATTTAGGGACTTGAATTTCTCCTAGTGCTACTCGAGCTCTGATATGTCCATTCTATTGGAAATCAAATCTAATCTGTCTGTCTTCTAGATTTTTGCTTAGGGTCTCCCGGAGTCTCGCGGCCTCTCCCTACTCCTCGGTCTCTTCCTACTTCTTGGCCTTCTCGCACCGCCTAATTATTTATGTTGCCCATTATGCAACAACATCTGAGACATCATCGAATGGTCCACCCGACAACGAGACTATCTGGAGCAGTCATCCCAATGGTTGATCGAAAAACCTTGAAACTCCAGTTATCTAAGAGGGAGCCGCAGCACTAACGGTGGCTACTTATTTAGAGATTAAGAATACATCTCACAAATTACCTCATTTAAACTCACTTACCGCCCATCTACTGAACACCATCTGTACACAAAACATCTCATCCAAACAAAAAGCCTGAGGATTGCGCCGCGGTCTTTGTCGAGCCCATGTGCCGACCCGTACCGGACCCCTCTACCCGAGATTAAAAGCCGGCCGTGGCTCGAAACCCGGGAAAGCGACGAAGACCAACCCCGATCGGCGTCGCTGTCGAGACGCCTGGCGCTTACCTATTTCCTTCAGCACGTGGCCATTCGTATAAAGCCCGTGCGGTGCCACCGAATTGACACGGAATCGTCCCCCCGGGTGCTCAGACAAATTCTCCACGCGGCCTTCNACTATATATCCTGTAATAGGACGGATTAGACCCCGCAATATGCACTGTCTTTCCCTCACTGTCGTGAGTCCGAGTCGCGTCAGAATTTCCCAGGATTGTGTTCAAAAGGAATAAGAATTAAGGATGCGATGGCTACCACAATGGCAGAGATCGCTGGATTTGGAATTTACTTTAGAATTTTTCCTCTGTGTCAATTTTATTTCATAAATGATTGTCGGATTCCGGCTTACTCCGGTTCTTCCTCTATCTACTCGCGCTTATAACTTCTGTCCAATTTAGGGACTTGAATTTCTCCTAGTGCTACTCGAGCTCTGATATGTCCATTCTATTGGAAATCAAATCTAATCTGTCTTCTAGATTTTTGCTTAGGGTCTCCCGGAGTCTCGCGGCCTCTCCCTACTCCTCGGTCTCTTCCTACTTCTTGGCCTTCTCGCACCGCCTAATTATTTTGGTATTGCGCACGCGTCGATTGCCGTCGATTTCGGTATCGCGCAGGCGCTCTCAATTCGCCCCGTTACAATCCACAAAAGAATGCAAATAAAATGTTACTCTCCCTCCTCCTCCTCTCCCCCTCCCTCACTCCTTCTGTTGCCGCTGTTGCAGCCGGTAGTGCCCGACCACGTAACAGACGGCGCACGAGCATTCATATATGAGCCGCTCAGTGCACACATCGACTAACTCCACTTTCTGAAAAATCTTAAATTTAGGTGTCAAAGCACTTGGTATGGTCATAACTTTTTATATTTATAATATGTTTCCTGATTAATAGAGATTAACACCATTAAACGGCAAAATTTGTGTGGGCATTGAATAATAAGTAATTTATTTCAGAAGCCATTTTGATTAACTCCATACTCTAATGTAAATCGTAGACGAATACCTGGCAGTATAGTATTATTGGATTATCTGTTGCGGCCGTACATCGATGCTTTTTTTTTAAACAGCCGAAGTTGCTTTCCCCCTTTCAACAATATGAGTAATAAAATCGCATCAGCAAACAGATAGAAAGAAGCGCAATGCAGACGGTAGTTGGTATAACAGTGATCTCTCACGCTGAATGTTACCGTATACTTCACCAATATTACACGGAATACATATTTTTTGGTCTTTTCAACATTACTCCCTTATTGTTTTTAAAGAACTAAATATTATACCGTTATAATCAAGATGAGTGAAACTAATAACAATGTGGATGTGGAAAGCAGGGATGATTCTTCAATACGATTTATCAGCAGAAAGTCTGGGGCAAGAAGACGTTTATCGTGTTTCTCGGATTCATCCGATTGCAACGGTACAAATTCCCCAACAAACACATCGATTGGGAGGAAAAGAAGTCGTAATCCTGATAAATGGGCACGAAATTTACAAAAGCATAACGGAACAAAAGGTTTGGCATACAGGAATAGGGGAGGAAATTTAATACCTGCAAAAACATTTGTCGATATAAAATGCAGACGATTATTTTTTGGCTATTCTTTCTTATTAATTTTATATACCGTTAGATGAAAACTATAACTGTATTTATGTATTCTACATTATATATTTGAAGTTATATTATAATAGGAATTTTAAAAAAGAATCTACATTACTTCATCGCATTTCTCAACTTTTTGTTTTATGGAGTTAATCAATGTGTGCACTGAGCGGCTCATATGCCAGTGTACAAATGTATAAATTGCGTCTGTTATACCATAGTGTTGAAATTTATATCAGATTGAATTTATGCAGGTCGCTCCACCAGGACTAACTCAAATTACCACGATGATGTGCGGCTCGTGCTCTAATGAGAATGCTTTCAAGAATATCTTCATTTGGTTCGCTGAGAAAAAAAGACAAGGCGCTTCATTTTCTAAAGAAGAAGTAGAGACTTGTGTCATGAATCAGCCTCCTGGATCGCCACGATTCTCCATTTTGTCCTTCAAAGGTATTTTCGAATTTTTGTATAAAATTCATTTACCATTTTTTAATTATTGTTGCACGACAATAGCATGTTACAAATGTGCTGTGTAAGAGTGCGTACCCACACGCAAGAAAATCTCTAATATACGTACATAGAATGTTTTCATATCCACGGGATATTTCAGTATATCAGAAGTTAAACATATATATATAATAAATGTTCACGAAATGTCTAAAATATTCTATTGGATTTCAGATGTGCATTATATGTATGAAATATATTACTAGAGCATCAAAATTTTCACGAATTAAATACGTTTAGTAAACGTATAATATATCTCTGTTTAACAGGCACTTATATCTGAAGTATTACACGACCAAAAACATGTAATATATGTATGCTGGGTATATATTACGGAAAGGAAAAGTGACCTGTCACAGACGTAAAATATACGTTAATTTTATGTAAACATATAAATTATTTTACTCACATGTTTGATATACGTATTTTATACGTTCTTAAAGCAACCACGTGTTCACCAATGAAATACGCATAGTAAACGTATAATATACTTCTATTTAACGTGCAGTACCTAACGTATTACACATGCAAAAGACATTCAATATGTGTACGTTGCACGTATATTAAGGAAATGAACATTAATTTTCTGCATACGTATGACATACATACAAATTATTCACTGTAATGATCTGTATTTTTCCCGAGCCTCTGCACCGGGATAAACGCAGCCTTTGAGGGTTCGAGCCTCACGATGCCTGAGACTTGAATTTTAATTTTAACTTAATTTTCGACACATTTTGAGGCTGGCTAGAGAGTGAGTAGATCGTTTCACGAGCGAACAGCAGTGTGCATCAATATATTGAGATTCGGGAGGCCTGCCAACCGAATCCGGTTTGAACGAGTTTTTCTACCATAAGGGCGCTCACCACTCAAGCGATTTTGCAGGGCCTCACGGGGACAACGATTCCGAACGTATTTCTAAACCGATCGACCTTAACGAGTGCTCATATCGAAGATGAAACGTTGACCCGTGTTTAAATGGGAGCGATTTTCGATAAGTGGTCATTTTCATATAAAAAAGTGCAACGACATAATTTCAATGCCCTTTTAACTAAGAAGGAGATGCTCGATCGAAAATCGCTCCCATATAAACACACGTCAACATTTTATCTTTAAAACGAGCACCCGTTGAGCTCAATCGGTTGAGAAATACGCTCAAAATCGTTGTCCCCGTGGAGCACCTTTTTCAGGATTTTCGAGTTTCTCGCGAGGAATTTGGGCATTCCTTGGCAACCGTTGCCGATTCTACGCGGAGCGTGCAACTGGCGTGTGCGGGCGGCCGGGGGTCACCCACGTTTCGGCGCCTAGTCCAGAGGCGTCTAACCGTTGTGTGAGTCCTATACGTGTAAAATACGCACACATTTTTCGCCCGTTACTAAACACCGCCCATTATGCGTCGCGTCTCCCTCATCCGAGCGAGAAAGTACGTTTTGGTTACCTCCCACCGAATTCGATGCTAATGCCATCTAGCGGTGGAAGTCATCGTCCCCACTTTGGTGGTGAACGCCGTTAAGGTGTTCGAACCGTTTAGCACGAGTTTGGCAACTTAATTTGCTGGGAATGTTTTTCGATTTTCGGACCGCTTTATTTAAATTAGGTGCAATCCTAATTCAATTAAAGTCGCTTTCGTTATTTATGACATGAATTCCAGGAAAGGAAAGGATGGGAAATTGACTCTCTTGTCAGCTAGAGCGACTTACTCCATCAGCTGTGCGCTCTATTTATTCATCATAGAATCGAGTGGATTTGGATTCATGGATAGTAGGTTTTGTGGGTGATTTTTAGATGAGTTGAGATTAGGATGCGAATTAGTCCTGACGTCACGCCGAAGTTTCGCTCCTGAACGCGTTCTCTAGCTCACTTTCAGAATAATATTTCGGGGCCGAGGACTCGCCGACGACAACGGGGTCCAATCTGAGATTATTTTATTTAAACTCGAAACGAGAATCCTAATCCTAGTAAGGTGGCTGATCAGCGTTATTACAAGAAATTAATGCACTGTAGGAAAAAAAATAGAGTTGTCGACTCCTTTTTCAACTAAAATAGCGCTGTATAAACCGTGACTACGAGTTCTGTTACACCCTGTATATATATATTAGTCACTTGTCGAATTTTAATGGCCTCGCTTCCTGCCTAATACACCAGAAATTGTATACACTATATACTATGAATATTGTATTGTACTGTTTAAATTTGTTTTTATGCTTAACTGCTTCAGGTTCTTTCCATGGCAGAACGCTGGGGTCGCTGTCGGCAACGCATAGCAAGTATATTCACAAGATAGATATACCGTCGTTTGATTGGCCAATCGCATCATTCCCGACTTACAAGTATCCATTGGAAGAGCACGTTCGGGAAAATCACGAAGAGGACGAACGTTGTTTGGCTGAGGCAATGTCACTTATATATGATATTACTTCGCGAGATATCCTGCTATTTAACCGTTTGACTGCTAAGCAATTTTTGCAAGAACGCACGAAAACTGCGAGACATATTTTGACACACTGAAACTCGCAGCGCAAAAGCGCTGCGTCGCGATTTTCGAGACAAATGAACGCAGCGCTTTTGCGCCGCGTAGCAGTCAAACGATTAAGAACTCTTGAACGCATGCTAAAAACTAGTTCGCTATTTAAATCCCAAAATATCGCAGAAAATATCCAGTTTTGAATTTCCCTTATCTTATTAATAATTAGTCCAGACGAAACTAGAATAATATTTTTTATATGGAGAGCAGGAAAAGTATTTCAATTTAACATGGTTTTATTCCCAATTGCCCGACCCTGCGGTCATTCATTCTAATATACCTTGAAAAATAATTATTTAAGACCACTTTTTTTCATTTGGGAATCGTTTATATTTAAAGGGTGAAGCAGTCTCCCAATCTCTAGGAATCATTCGACTTACATATTGGTTTTTGCGGAAGATTTCGAGAGATATTAATGAACTTGACATGAACATATTATGCATCAGGACGATATTAAAACTGTATTCTTTAATATTTCGTTATCCTTTCAGTTGAGACATGTTTTTTTTTAAACGTTCTCAAAAACAATTGGTGCAATTTAAACAACGATTATACTATGTTAATAATCACATAAAAGTGGAATTTACTTGTGTTATGCTTCTTGCAAATAATCAACAAACTCGTATAGTCCAGAGATGCGAGAAACATGCTTAGCTTTTTTGACTTTGAGCAAGACGGTACCGAGTTATTATGCACAGCAACCACTTTCCAGATCCGCCGACTCGGTTTGCCCGATCGTGCGGACGGTCAATTTCCGCCCGGGCCACACGATTGCGCCGTGACCGTGAAAATGACCGGAACTGGATTGTAAGGGGATCGGATCCGTCAACATTTTTGGGCGCCAGGCATACCGCTATGCCAAGTGTCCGGATACAACATACAGTCTGTACCCGAGGATGACGAAAACCGCGGACTACCGCTAGCCCGATTTATCTCCTAAAATCACGTCCTTAAGCTTAACTTTATACGATGCATACGACTAGCTCAGATAAGTCTTTTATGATCGCGAAGACGGGGGGGGGGGGAGGGTGGTTATTTTTGAACGCCGGACTAAAGAGGAAGCGAGAATAAGAAAGAAAATTAAATTATTATGAAACAACTGGGTAACATATATTGTCACCCGTCTCGACAAGTTACAACAAAACTATGAACAGAAATGTACTGTGACGTAGTAAAATTCCCGACGCGTCACAAGGGGTGACTCTAAAGCCGGAGTGCGGAGAGGTTCCCTTGGCAATCGTTAGTTTAAGGGTTTTTGTTAGAAAGTTACCAGAAAATTGGCGATAAGAAAGTAGGTGAGAAGGCGCCGCGACCCGGCATGGGAGCGCCGCCGTTTGATGGTCCCAAGGAAACGCGCGAGGCATCCCAAAATTTGGAGGACATGCTGCCATCGGCCGGCGGGCGACCTAATTAGTCGGACTAGTAACCCACTCCGGCGAGGCAAGAGGGCAGGTCGGCTCCCGGTCCTAGGTTCGACAAGGCTCGCTAGGGGGACATCAAGGCGGGAGCGAGAGTCCTGCCGATGGCACCGGCATTGCCAAGGGGACGGAGAGACAGCTGCGCTCAACTCAAGAAGTATTGTCCCGTACCGAGAGGCCCCGTCGGCGCCGTTGATTGGCTGAGATGCTCCTTAGTTCCAGATTTTCGGCGGAGTCGGCGTGCGCCGGCCCGATTCCTAGGGCAAGGGGTTGCGACGGCCCGATCTCCGTGCGCGGTTGCTGGGCAATGGCGGTACCCGCCCGTCGCACGTCGAGCCGCCGGCGATGCCACGGCCGTAGCGAGCGGTGGTCCGTCGGGACCCGGCGTGCCCTGGTCCTCTGGGCACCCGATGTTTCCCTCTCCGGGGGATCCTTGGATAAGCCCCGGGTACTCTAGCGAGAGCGTGGTCGGGCTCCTGGTCCGGAAGTCAAGAGCTCGCTACCCGGAGCGTGGCACCTACGCCTCGCCTCGTTGGTTGCAGCCAGGGTCATGAGAGCTGCTGCCTCCTGGTCTGGCTCCTGGCCGAGTAGTCTTGCTGCCCCTGCGGGCGGCCGTACCCGAGCCGCCAGGGCCTGTCTACGGTCCGCCCCCGCAGGCAAGGCCACCAGGGGGTTTAGCAGGGCCGACTTGCCCTCCGGGTGGATCCGACGGACGGGCCGTGGCACCGCGGCTGGTGAACTCGGTCCTGACGTCCTTGGCCGCCGAGACTTCCTCGGCGGCTTCTTTCTTCCCGGTCGGGGTGACGAGCGGTAGCACGCGCGCGAGCACGAACTCCGAGAGGTCCCTGGTGTTAATACTCCGACCTGGCGACCGGAGCCTCGCTACGCGTTACCGAAATTTGGCGAGCTCTCGATCACTTCGCCAAATATTCATTTTGAATATTCCTGCGAGTGCTCGAGAGCACGCCCAGAAACTCAAAAATTAAATGGATGATCCCTCACAGGAAATTGGGAGGGTTCCCGTGGATCGCAAAACTAGGCTGCAACAAAATATTCAGCTTAAATTAGTTAACAATTAGGTATGCTTTCCCTCTCCCTCGAGTCGGTGATCGTCGGACCTCGGACCCTGCAAAGAAAGAATGCAAAAAAAACACATCGGCCGAAATTTAGGGTCGCCGTGGGGTGGCAAACATATACCACGTCACATCATATAATACTGCTTGATAGCATATTGGAATTTATCGCATTCGAAGTAGGGTATCAGCCGACTCAGTACTTAAGAGTCGCAGCAAAGGGCTGCACGATCTTAAATTGCCAATGGAATAGAGAAGCCCTGTTGCAATGCATACTACAAAGAACATTTTGCCGCAGATTGCATTCACTTCGGTGAGATGCTTTTATACGAAACTGCCAAATCATTCTCTTTTACAGTCCAATTTGAAGAGTAATTTCACCCCTTACACCGTTATTACAGCAAATAAATGAAAATATGTGCCTTTTAGAATTATATGGATGACAAAATATCAAAAGTAGAACAAAATCGAAAGGAAACATCAAAGTACTTTTCCTTATTAGACAATTCTCAAAGGTGTTCAACCAGTATTTTAGAAGTGTCTCTCCGTAAGCATTAACCCTTTGCGATAGATGTCGCCACAGTGGCGGGGGAAATTATTTTGTTGGGGCATGGAGATGTGCGCCATGTGCTAAATTCGCTTCGACTAGTTGGTACTCCCATCAGAGAAATTTGCCGATCACCAAGGGTTAATACTACGTATTCGAAAATGGAATGTTCCATTGAAAAAATCACGTTAACTTTGATCTCTACGTAATCTCGACTTCTCCACTCACGGTCAAACGGATTTGGCCATTCCATAGAAATCTTAAAGCCTTCAAATTTTGTTGTAAAACGCTGTTTTCAAAAGTGCTTGTCTTTCAAAATATTAAACTGTTTCCAAACGTTTCCAACACTCTGTATATATTTTGGAACAGGGTGCATGAATCATAATAATAACATGTTAATAGTTCTCTTAGCTATTTCTTTAATTATAATACGTAATTACCTTTTGCAGGTTGAAGATCTGATTGCAATGTCTGAATCCAAAAACAAGATACCAGTGGCTGGAGTCATAATAGAGCCCATTCAAGCTGAAGGAGGCGATAATCATGCGTCCCCAGAATTTTTCCAAAAGTTGCGACATATAACAAAAAAGGTACAGTTATTATCAAACAGCTCTTTGCTATGAAGAGTTTCATAACGGATTATCGTATTAATTTTACATGTACTACGTTTGATACAGCTGCCAAGCTTACTGCGGATAACCTTTTTACAGGGATAGATCTTGTTTGTAGTAGACTTTCACATTTAATTGTTACTTCAACTGGTAAGCAGGCCATATTATTAATAGTAAATATCGTACAAAATTTCAATAGGACTCAGACGTTTTCATTTGCCGCTATGTACTACATTGAATTTGGTATAAAAATTTACTTTTCCTCTAATCTAAGCCGTACTCACAATTCTCGCTGATGTCAACCTTTCAAATTCATTTTTCTGTTCTAATTACAAGATTGTGTCTCTATTCTAGTTTATAATGTATCACAAGCCACTATAATCTGGCCAGCGAGATGTAAAACTTTATGCGGGATTTAAAAGTTTACGTTTCGTGTACTGGAACAGTAATACGTATGGATTTCACGCAACCAACACTGATACCGATTTCGCCAGACGTATATCTGTTACAGTGGAACACCGAAATCTGGAGAATGTCGACTTTCACCGGTGAATGTCAACATTCACATAATCGCTTAGTGTATACCCGAAATATTTGCTAAATACCCTTATTTCTGACTTACACCGGTAAATGTCGACACACACTGGAGAGGATCCGAATGTGCAACAATATAATGAAATATTCGATCTTTCACCGACGTATTTGGTATCTGTTGACATTCACCGGTGAAAGTCGACATTCTCCAATTTCGGTCATTCACGGTAACATATCAACGTGGAACGCTTCACCGCCAACATGATATATTATATTAAAGCAATAAAGCCAACGATGCAGTTGGAAGAAAGCATATCATTGTCTTCGCGGTCGCGGTAAAATCGTCCTCGCGGCACTGGCGGTTCTTCTGTATCTTGTCACCCACGGCGTCGCGGCGGGGGGTCGGGCGAGAGGCGCGCCACGTCACTCGCATCGCGATCCGGTGGATTTCCCTCTCGAGATCGGAGGCTTCCTCCCCGATCCTCAGAGGTCGAAGGGTGGCACGGTGGGTACTCCGGGAGGTCCAGGGCGTCCGGGCGGTCAGAGTACACCCTCCGGAGTAGGGCCCAGAACCACCAGGCGAAGACCCCGAGGACGAGGATGGCCAGGGTCGCCAGGCCGCTCCACTCTCCGCCTCCCATGGGCTTCGACGGGGGGGAGGGGAAGGCGCACCGTGCTCCCTGCGGCGGTCTGCTTCCCCTCTTACGGCCCGAAGAGTTCTTCAAGTCGGCGGACGAGCTTGGCCGACCCGGGGGTGGCCCCGGTGGAAAGCCGGTGGTCCGTTTAGCCGGTCGTAACTGCCGAAGGACCGCGAGGATGAGGCGACGCCCCGTCAGCTTCCTTGACGGGGCCTCCCGGGAAGACGGAGCGTCCGGGGCCGTGCGGGCGGTGAGCTCCGGGATTCCCTTGCCTAGCGTGAGGGGGCAGGACGAGCCCCGGGCGGGCCTGAGGCCGGCGGCAGGGGTCGGCGACCGTGCGACCGGCGGCGTCAGCGGCAGCGAGGAGACCGGGGTGGGCGGTGGCGTCGGTTTCACCGGCGTCCTTGGGAGCGATCGCGGTGGCGTCCTCGGCTCCGGCGGAGAGGCTGGTCCGGGGAGCGGTCCGCAGACGTAGCAGACCACCCGCGCGATTAGCGTGTCGAGGGCCCGGTGGCGGGCCGCCGAGGAGAAACACCCCTTGGCTTCGGCCCGGGCGAGCAGCCAGTCGGAGTCCCCGTCGATCGGGGGGGGGGGGGGTTAAGGTGGCGGTGGCCGGGTCTCTGGCGCGAGCCCGCGCTTTTGGCGGCCTCCCTGCTTGCGGCACGGGGGCGCGCGTAACGGCGGGCCTGCGGGGGCTCCATGCTGCCTGGTGCTGCGGAGCGGGATATCGCGGGCGGCGACCCGCTACGCAGCGTGCTTGGGCCCGTCGGGATACGCGAGACTGCGGAGCGGAGCGCGGGCGCGTCCACTGCGGAGTGGGGATCCGCGGAGCGGAGCGCGGGGCGCGTCCTGCCGCGGAGCCAATGGCCGCGCAGGGGAGCGCGAGGGCGCAACGCTGCGGGTGTCTCGAGGCGAGAGCGGGACGGGAGACGCTCTTGCACCGAGCGTACGGGTGGTGGTGGAGATAACGATGGAGGAGGCGATTTCGGTAACGATACGTGGTGTATTTTCCCAGAGCCTTCGGCCGTTCGCGACGGAACAGGTACATAATGACTGCCTATTTGGGTCCCGGAGGACCCGTCATTACACTGAAAAGTCCTTAACGCTATCTTACTCTAGCGCTGTCCCTTAGGAGGACCTCCTTGTCTAAACATTCTTTGGCAAGGCTAGGCCGGGTTTTCTCGTCTCAGAGTGGCGCGCCTCGCAGGATTTTTCCGGGGCGACGTGGAGACGTCGGGACCGAAGTCACAGTGCCGCTACGGCCCCGGTTTAGTTTCACCGTTCGATCAATCCTGCGGCCGCCTGACCTTCGCGGAATCGAAGGATAATGGGAGATGGGTTACGAAAATGTCAGCGGGATGGGTAAGGGATAGCGCCGAGGCCTGGATCCGGGCCCTTCGGTATCCCCACCCCCTGGGCCGCGGCTTAGGGCGGCCGGGGGAAGTGGGTGGAGAAGGCGGGGGTCTTGCACCCGATCACGGCATTCTCATCGCGGGGGACATGAGTCCCGCGATCTGGGAGTCTTCCCGAATCAATTTTCCGCATTCCTACCCCTTTGCACGGAGTGAGCACCAGGCAAGCGGGCCTGGCGCGTCGGCGCATGGGTCAAGAGGGAGACGTGCGACGGTTAATGGCCCCGGGGCGCTCAACCCGCCGGCTGGAGCGGTTAGGGATAGGGCTCGGCCATGGGAGCAAGGGAGAGGGAGCGAGGGTCGGGCCCAGCGACGGACCCTCAGCGCTCCCGAATGAGCGCCGCGGCTGTACCCGTTGTGTCGGAGTGCAGCACACGGCGCCTTCGGGGCACTCGAGGTTGTCGGGCACGGAGAGACAGGAATTTTTATGGGTTTTGGGAAACGTTCCGCGAGGGTGGGCGATGCACGCGTGCAACATCATGAACAAATGATGAAGACAATGATAAACAGACGATGAGAAAAATGTTTTAGTTATGGTAGTAAATGCAGATCTACTCAAAAACACCTAGATGCAAAAAACGTTTCCAAATTGTTACGGGGTGGCCGAGCGGATGCGAGGCCGGGGTAATTCAGATGGAGATTACCCAAATCTTGCGCGTAACGATTATTTTAAGTTTGTGAGGAGATTGATCCGAGCGGCTAGATCAATTCCTCTGGTGGGATTTAGGGGAGTGAAGAATGAAGAAGGGATACGGACGAATGGCTATGTAGCTATTGTATTAAGATTTGCGTTTATTCATACGTGAGGTCTAAACTACAATCAGCTGGAAGGGCACCCGAGGTGCCTTGACCTAATTTCTCTAGATTAATATACTTCCGCGTCGCGGCGGTTCAGGATGGCGCGCTTTAGCGGCGGCAGGTTACTGGACGCCGGTGTGCTGACGCGGGAATTCTTACTGTTTTAATGGCGGTCTGCGCGTGATTCTATTTCGCGATGCTGAGATTCGAGCTCAGCTGTTTAATGGAAGTCGATGGATTCTAAATCTATCCGATTAACCGGAGCAAGGCATGGAAATAGCGATAATGGTCAGAATTCGGTTTTGGTCGGAAATGAAGGGTTAATAAATAAACTAGAATGAAAATGAGGATGAATCGAGCTTGCGAAGGATCCTCTACCTGGCTTGTTCAGCGGCCGTAATCGGTGACAGTCTCTTTTGATCGACCCGGTCGGATGACTGTGTGTGAACACCTTCGTCCCGTGACGTGCCCTAGGGTTGGAGGTCTCCTAGAAGCCTCCCGTCCAATGAAAGTCGCAGTGCCGCCGTCTAGTCCTGACTCGGTGGCTGGATCGCTGGAGTACCGGATGGCGCTACTGCAGCTCGCAGGATAGTGGTCCTTGGCAGGGAGTCCAATAGTCTCGGTCTCTGACTCGCTAGGAACGGAGTACCGGGGTCCAGGAGCTCCACTCGAAGTTTCGAGGATACTGACGTTGACTTATGACAAATTGACTAAAGACTTCAGACTAATGAATAATGACTAATGGCATATGACAGCCCGTCTTGATCGGACTGCTGGTTTTATTAGCAGGATGTTCCAATTGGTGGGGGGTTTCCTAGGGCCCAGGTGAGGGTGGCGTTTCTGAGTCATCAGGTTGTTCGCCCCGGGTCGGTCGATGATCTTTGGTGCCGTTTGACCGATGAACTCGTTGGATCCTTTCGCAAGAGTTTTCTAATCGCGTTTCTGTATTCGAATTTCCATGGCTAGCTCCGGTGATTGGAAAATAGGGTTTTTCCCTACGTTAGGGTACGGAAGGTGCCTACGTAACATCTCCCCTCTGGATAGCCCAATGAAGGATGCTTTCGCGGATTACGACCTAGGATTGCCGATTTACTCGATTAACCATGTATGTTCGTGATGCTGTATGTTATCTAAATGGGATTTTCTCCTCTTCCTTGCATCTTTCAGAGGGCATGGTTGATCGGGTATTACAGAGTTCGGCACGTTGGTTAGTGTTAGTGTTCTACATCTAAGCCTCTAAATGGCAGAAGGGCCATGATTCCATTTGTCGTGGGAGGCGGGTATCTCTTATTCTAATATCTTAATAATAAAAAATTGTTATCTATTTTCTAACAACATACTTTTCTTTAGCACTGGAGGATATAAAGTAATAAAAATACTCTACATGATTGTGCTCAATATAATTTAACATTAATTTCCAAAACCGAATTTAAACTTTCCCACCAATAGACGTAGACATTTAAAGGGTATCGTAATTCCCGAAGTTAGCTACTTTTCGCATTTGCGGTGCTGCCAGATTGGCTTAAACATTTAACTACCCTCCAGATAGCAAACCTTACAGTTCAGTATAAATAATCAAACCTTTACTTATTTGGCAAATATTAATATCTTTATCCGGAGGTTAGCTGTCCAGAAGTATGACAAAATCGGGCATTAGAGTTTTATGCTATTCAACTTGTAAATTTCAAAATGAATAAACTTGGAGACGAACTCTTGAAAATATTTCCTTATTAGGTTAGATTAGGTTAAGTTAAATTGAAGAGCTCAGTAGTGGCAAAGTCAAGGTGGGAAGGAAGCAAATGTTGCCGAACATATGGATAAAATTTAAACGCTACCGAGTGAAGACAAATACTTTTGAAACATAAGAGGTCGAGACCTGCCGATTCCAACGACTCGAATTTCAACCGAGGAGACTTGATCGATTACAAATTTCGATAGTGAAACATTCTGGGAGGAAATTTTGAATCTAATAATGTTATAGTATCGAAATTAAAAGTATATATTCTTGTGACAACGTTCGAAGAAAGATGTCACGTCACAATATCAAGACATGAAGTTACAGATTTTCTAGGGGGATTAGTATTTTTACCCTCCAAAACTGAACATAAGCTGATAAAATAAGACATGTATTGGTTACTTTGACCAATCTTCACACATACCAAGTTTGAAAAATCGAAGACGGAAGTGTGGGTTCGTTTCTTTGTCAGCTATAAACATTCGTGTTTGTAGCGTTTTTCAAAACGATTACATTGACCGTAATGTAGGTTCCCAGCTTAATAACCAGTATTCACTCAGAATATTCTATTGTTTGTTGATAGTACGGCGTAGCGCTACTGATTGACGAAGTACAAACTGGTGGAGGTCCAACTGGGAAAATGTGGTGCCATGAACACTTCAATTTAGACTCACCGCCAGATCTCGTGTCCTTTAGTAAAAAGATGCAAATTGGAGGATATTATCACATAGAGGAGTTCAGGTAATCTACCGTATTATTTTTGTTTCTTACATATTAAGGTATGAATTTTAAAATATAGACAATTTCCATTAAAATAAAACAAAAACTCTTCGTAATTCTTTTTTATAACAATTATTTACATTACGTTCTTTTGTTTCGTATAAGACTGTTAACAAGTAATGCTCTAATATACATTAGGGTGTCCGTTGGTCTTCGCTGGAAGAGTTTTAGTGCGTAGTGTCCGTCGCGGCGATGTGATTCGTGTATAGGCACGGGGTAGCGTCCGTTGCGTGATGTTTCTCGCAGCACAAAAAAATGGTCCAAAAAAGGGGTCGCACCGGAAGTGTCTTTTTACGGACGAAAAATCCGGAATTAGTCCCGCGAGGAGTACAGTGGCGCTTCGCCCTCAAGCTCCGAGAACGCGTAGTGGCAGTCCACGGGGGCCGGTTCCGCGTCGTCCCCGAAGAGATCGCGTCTCTTCACGAGGAGCCTGGTCGACCGCGTGGGAGCCGCGGCGGAAGCCCCGTTCGGGCGCGGAGCGTTCATCCCGAGGGTCTGCGAACACTTGTAGACGTCATTTGCGGGGAACTCGAAAAATTCCGCAAACTCGCGGTATTCCGTGGATAGGATCTGGGTCGAGGTGCGATCCGGTTAGAGTGTGGGAGTCACGGAGCCACTCGCGATGCTAGCATCTTCCCGAGTGGAGGTACGGATTCGGCGGCGGCATTCCCGGGACGCCGGAAAACTGCAGCTCGTCGAGCGGCCCTTTTCTGGCGACCGAAGTACCTCCTTGCGTGGCACTTATTGTTTGTCATGGCAGTCGGAGGCTCGACGAAAAACTAAACTGCCCATTTTTGCTCGGATCCCATAAAAGGTCAAGGAGGGGGTGAATGAGAGGCGGGAACAAGAGCAAGAGAGAACTGAGCTGGCAAGAGAGAGATCGAGAGTAGTCGGAATGGCCACAGGTCAGCAGCTGAGGTCCCGTCGCTCGGAAAAGTGGCGCGAGATAGAGAAAGAGAGGGAGCCCAAGAAAGGTAACGAGGGAAGCGGTCGGAACGGCCACGGGTAGCAGCTAAGGTCCCTTTCGTCCCTCCAGGTAGATCGAGAGAGAGAGATCTAACGGCGGAAAGAGAAACGACGAAGGGGTAGGGGTGGCCACGGAACTTAGCCAAGGTCTCGTCCCGTCTTTCAGAAAATCGCGAAAGTAAGTTCGAAAAGGGGAAAAGAGAAAAAGTAGAAGGGTTAGAGCGGCCGCAGATTTCAGCCAAGGCCTCGTCCCGTTCTTCAAAAAGATAGCGAGAGAGACGATGTTATGCGTGGTTCGAGAGAGAGATCGGAGTGAAGAAGCTGATGCGAAGTTGGCGAAGAAATTAAGTTCTTTTTTGGTTTAGGAAAAGGCTTTACCAGCGGAGAATGTCACGGCGGTGTCCGAGGATGAACTGCCTCGTCCCGCAAAACATCCTATATATACAAGAAATACCTATGACTATCTTGTTCTAACGTACGCGAGAACAGCATCACGCTGTCCTTTCTTAATCCTAGCGACGTGACCTAGAAGACACCAGTCTGGGAAAAATTCGTGGAGTCAAGTCTCCCACTTAGAGAAAATTATGTGACAATTTGTAGAACAGAGTATTGAGAATTGAATGAAAAGTCAAGAGAAAGCACAGACGCGCACAAAGAGGTAGAAGGACAAGTTAGGGCTATTGAAAAGGAAAAGGAAAGTACGGCTCTCGATGGCGAACACGTGTGGGATCGGAGCACGTCGGTCTGGCTTTGTGGCGACGGCCGTCTGAGGGTTAAGAAGACTAGCGGGCCCCAGGCCCCTTTTCTAGATCCGATGCCTGAAAATTTTTATCACACGGTTTAATAATTCCAGTCCCTGGGGCCTGCGCACGACAGCTGAATGCTGGGCGTATTTAGAGGGCTCGTTCCTATTGATAGTATGAAAATACACATCCTAACAGTTACAGGAGACTATGAAACACAACATATAAATACAGCTTGTCGTCGCGATGAGTAAAGTTGGAGACGCCTGGTGACGCTTGAGTCGGCGAAGACTTCGCTATTTCGGCGTACCTGGGGAAACCTCGGGACTCAGACCTGCTACCCCTGGATGTAGTCCTCGAAAAGGTGACGCCACCTCCTGCGGGATTGCGGGTTGCTCGCCGCCTCGACGTCTCGGGCTAAGAGTAGATCTTGTTGTCATGCACTGTTCGGGGCCAGAGGAGGCGATGCTGTTACCGTGGACTGCTGGCTCGCCTGATGAGACAGTCTTGCTAGCGCAATAATTTAGAGTCTTTTCTTCGCAGCTAGTTGTCGAGTTTAGATATATTTGTCTGATTCTCTTTCCCCTCGCGATCGGAGGCGGAGAAGTCAAGCGGCGACCACGCGGTCGCCCACGTCCACGGATCGCATTGTTCACTTCCGAAGGACCCTCTTCTTAAGTCATAATTTTGCGCAATTGATATAGTTTCTAGTAGTGTAGTGATAATTACGTATTACTAATTTCCAACCTTGTTCTCGAGTAATTTCGATTTTACGTAATTAATTTAGAATTCGAGTAGTTTAGAGATAATTTCGAGTAATTAATTTCGAATCTTATTGTCCTTGTGATAATGTTAAGTAACGAATTTAGGATTCGGGAGTTTAATTATCTTAATGTGACTGAATAATTAAGTTGGAATTCGAATAAAGAATTGTGAATTTGAACGACTTATTTAGTCTTTTGGTAAATGAGTTGGAATTTGAGTCAAATTCTCTAGGAGCATGATTTTGATCTTGCGTAAATTAAAAAATTCTGTTCATCAAAACAACCGCTCATTATTTTTCGAAAGCAGTAATTTTCTAAATTAGTGAACTTTTGTTTGGGTCGAATTTGTTTTCCGATTATCTCGAGCCTGTTTAACTTCCGAACGTCGAGTACCTGCGAGTCATTTTCTGAGTTGTCGAACCCTTTTTGATTTTGAGCTGATATTACTTTTAAAGTGTTTCGAGTCCGATCCAATTTTAGAGTATCAAGTATTTTTGGTAATTTCTTATCTGAGTAAGTCTTTTTCTGGCAAGTCTAAATTATATCCTGAGTAGATTAGCTGGCAGGATTTCTCGCCTGACCACGTTTCCTTTGGGGCGACCTTCCGTCGAACCTCGTCCCCGGCATATTTTCTATTGTCCGCGACTGAATTGTTAAGCCAATTATTTTTATATTTTCTGTTAATTAATTGAATAAAATTATGAACTTTATTAGACCCGATTGATTTTCGTGTGATTTTTGTGTGAATTCCTCAGTTTTCCCGGTTTGAGTTGCCCGCTTTTGGGTTTGAATTTCCCTTCCCCATAGATTGATCTTACCCCGTCCACCCCAAACCTTTTTACGTGCGCTCTGAGCTGGTCGGCTGCGCCGCGACGATCGTCGAGGCGGAGAGATCGTTCGAGCTGAATAGTTTGAGTATCCTTCGCTGCTGTTCCTGATTTTGAGATTGTTGAGTTTTGTGTATTAATCTTTTGGCCTCCGGGGACCTGGCGACCAACTTTCGTTTATTTCGTGGTGGAATTTCGTAGACTGGCTCGAATGGCTCTGCCGCAATGATCCGGCGAAGGTGACGAGCGTTCGTCCAGACGCTGCGGACCCGGAACTGTCGCTCTTAAATTTAGAGATTCGTCTGTTCGTTACAACGCATTGTATGTTACGTGCAGAAGAACACTGTACAAAAATGTATCCACAAAGTCATCATTGTGCCCACAAAAGTAATGAAATCTTTCTTCTAATTGCATGCATTATGTATCGTGGTATATGAAAAGAGGTATCTTGGAAGATATAATTAAGAGCACATACACACAAGGCTTTATTACTGTGTGTTGCGTCCGGTCCTCGGCGAACAGAGTTGGAGCAGTCACCGGTGTGCCACCGAATAAACATATGATCACTGTCCATACTTCCCGTATCTTATTTCTATACTTGAATATCCCATAGGCGACGAGGGTTAAGGGGAACGGGTGCAAACAGGGGGAAAGAGAAAAGGAATAAAATAAAAATAATCCGCGGTGCTTCGCGCTTGCGGTCCGTGGTTCCCTCTTCCAGGGCCTCCCTACTTTCTCCTAAATATCGACTAAAACTCACATTCACCGTTGGACCCATTGCAATATGTGACAAGAGAAACCTATTTCACTATTTTTACGGGGAAATAAATATCACTCATCTGTCTCGTTCAGATTCAGTCTTTTCTACGTGATGCTGATTAGAATACAATTGCGAAGTAAATCCTTACGATATTTGAGGTAGAATTGGTAGAAACAAATAGAATTGACTTTTCCTTTTTGCGATCGTAAAAATCATGACACGTATTCGGAAAAAATAACTGATTTCCTTTTTCTCTTTACCCGATGTATTTGACCCAAGATTTTCTTAACATGAAATGTGTTTTAAGGGCGTAAGACACTAAAGAAAACTCGCCTTTATAAGAAAATAATTTTCACAAATCTAATCAAATGAAGTGTGAATGTCGCAAATATTTTTCCATTTTTTACTATTGAGTAATCTAATAACCTAATGATTTTATGTTATCTAGGCCTAAACAACCCTACAGAGTGTTCAACACTTGGATGGGAGATCCAAGCAAATTGATTCTGTTAGAGTCAATTCTTGACGTAATATTCAAGGAAGACTTACTGACAAGGGTGTCACGCGTGGGCAATTATACATTGAAACAACTGATTGAATTTCAAAACGAAATGCCACATCTGCTAGATTCAGCCAGGGGTCGGGGAACGTTCATCGCCTTTAATTGTGCAACATCTGATCTCCGCGATAAGCTTAAAAACAAATTATGGGCTAAAGGTAGTGTACATTTACAAAGTATTAATAAAATCTTTTTAATAATTATAGAGAAAGTAAAGGATTTTTAAAGAGAGTGAGATAGTGATAGCGGAGGAAATTTTTAATTAGTAGTGTGGATTTCAGTAGAAACGTCCATACTTAGAATTACCAAATAAAACCAGTGCCTGTCATGCTCCTTATGCAATGGTAAACATTTTAATAGAATAATATGTACGTAATAAATTTGATTTTCATTTCAGGTATCCAAACAGGTGGATGTGGCCCAAGAGCACTGCGACTACGACCAGCTTTTACATTCACGGAATATCATGCAGACATTTTCTTAAGCGAACTACGGTCTGCCTTAAAAGCCTAATTTACTGGATTCAGTTCCGCAATAATTCCAAGTCTTCCATAAAAATAAGATAATTTTTACAAAACGAAATGTAGTTCTTTATAGGATACAATAAGTTATATGAATATTGTCTTCCATGAAACATCGATTTAAACGATGACCGTTCAATTATTATTGTACAATAATGCCAATTAACTTTTCTATAGGATTTACTATGAGAGATCTACGTTTCATACGTGGACACTTTTAGTTTGGTGCCATTAAATAATTGTGTAACGTGCAACGCAGTCTATTAATGATCCTCGTCAGATGCTGGAAATTTTGGGACATGGCGCCGTGCGTACTCCTCGAGATCCACCGGCGGGACATGACAACGTACATGCGAGGCCGCTTGTATTTTCTTAGGGCACCAGGCGTGACCATCCACGCCGCGGCCTGAAAATTTCCGACAAAGGGAAGGAAGCAATCCCGATTCTCTGGAAATTCCGGACGACTTCGATTACCAGCCACTAAGCCCCGCGAGAGAGAGAAATTATTAAGGGTTTTCGTGTGTCTGTCCGTCGCGTCAAGTATTGTATTCAATTAATTTTCATTGGCTTTTAATGTCGCGATTCTATTCGAGATTCTGTGTGGGCGGGCTCCACGGTCACACTTTGTGCAATGTGTTTCCGTGACCCTTTAACAGAGGGGGAACGGCGCCATGCCGTCACGTCCTCGATGTTTAAGTGTGAAAGAACGTTGTATTGAGAGTCTGGATCGTCCCGTACCTCTAGTCACCTGGGGAACGTCGGGATGACCTCACGCCGGGGGCTTAGACGGGGGGTACGAGGCCGTCTCCTGTATACGAGGTTCCTGTTTTTCTCCGTCAGGCACGGAATTGCCCGTGCGACCAAACACCAGGGGAACGTTGCGATGACGTCACGCCGAGGAGCAGGTGCACGGATGCAAGACCGTTCTTGAGCCTTCGGAGGAGGATGCGAGTCGTCTCGAGCGTCCAGACACTCGGGGAACGTCGCAATGACGTCACGCCGAGTGCCAGGTGCAGGGGGCCGACGTCGTCGTCCAGCTTCGTCTCAGGCGGCTATACACCAGGAGAACGTAGCGATGACGTTACGCCGAGAGGGCAGACGCTAGAGTGCGAGACCGGCCGCGGACCGTCTTGCTACCGAGTGGAAGGGGAACGACTCTATGCTGTCACACTTCGCACGATAAGCGAGTCGTATCGCCGAATTTCCTAAAAATTTCGACGAAAATTACCGGAAGGGGAATCCGTCTAATAGTCACCGTTCGCAGGTGGTCCGAGGTATCCTAATCGGACGCTTTGCCGAATTTCTTTGAGTGCTCGGCTCCACCTGCCTACTAAGGGCACTGGATTTCACTAGCTCGTGAAGATTGGATAATATCCTGGAGGAGCAGCGCTATGCCACCACGTCCAGAGGTTCCTTCGATCGGAATAGAACGATCAGAAAGGACCTCGATTAGAGAAAAATCCACGCCTTTTATACCTGCGGAGTACATGGGTTCTATTACTATATCGTCGGGTTCCCACTCTGGCCCGCGTTCTTTGACGTGCTATTGGATACGATGGTTACCCTTTAGACGATTTGTAATTTCTCGCCCTCTGATTCGCCGGGGTCAAGGCCGTGGTCACTTCCTCCAATCGGGGTGAATTATGTCGACGTTATATTAATTTAATCGCGATGTTTCAATTCGCGACCTCGTGACCCTGCCCGTGTTGTGTGCGCACGAGGCTCTCTCTTGACGCGCCGAGCAAGCGGTTGTTTTTCTATCCCCTGCGAACTAGTTATCGCGTTGACTACCCGTCGCGGGAACAAGATTTGACTTATCTCTCGTAGGTGTCGCGTCGCGTACCTCCGACACGTTACTGTATATATATATTTTTATTTTTGGCCAAAGATTGACAATATAAATGATAATGATTAAACGAAATTTTAATTACATTTATTACTGTGGTGTTTTAATATGCGAAATGTGTCGCATAATCCATAGGATTACGGTAGCTCAGTAGTCAGCACTACTATAGTCTGATACCCAAATGATTCTGGTTCGAATCCCGATCACCACCATGGGGATTTTTTAAATGTCAGATGTTTGTATATCTCGAAGATTTCAGGTCCCTGAACAGATCGTGGTAAATTGTTTCTAAAAAAAAATGCATTTAGTGCAAAATAAATAATACTTTTTTAAATTATTCCACCTACATTTGGAATACGTCTTATATATGTATAAAATACGTATAATATTATACGTGAATAGATATCTTATATACGTCTACCATATATCTTGTTTACATATAATATACATACTTTATCCATATGGGATGTATATTAAATGAAAGTGGAATGCTCAAAAATACATATATTATACGTTGACGGCGCAGACATTTGTACATGCCTCAGCACATTCCGTATACTTTTGTATACTCTATTAGACATCTGAATGTTTTAGCCAGATATCCTATATACGTATACCATATCTAGTTGTCCGTGTGGGTTGTAATTGAAACGAACAACACGTGGATCCGCCAATTAAAAATATGTCACGGTATTTCTGAGCGCAACTCAACTCGCTCCGTTTCTCGTAAATCAATTCTCTCCGGTCGTCACTATATCGATCGATTGTCAAACGATGAACTATTTTATTAAAGAAAATATACACGGTAACGCAAAGCTCATGGATGCTATTTCCGTATGTCATATTTTCAGAATCACAAAAAGTATTACAGTTCACTAAAAAATAACAAAAAGGGGATTAAACAAAATTACCTATCGTTGCAGTTTTCGTTTTATTTTTTAACAAATAAACAACGTCGCAGAAAATGATATCGAGTACCAATGGAAGTGTGGGATACGATTAGGAATGTATGATAAAATCGAGAATGATATAAAATAAAAAATAGAAAAATTATTAAACATTGGTAAATTTACCCCGCGAGATAAATTGCCCCGATCTCCCTTATTCTAGCGTACTTCCGGTCCGGGAGCCACGATACTGATTACCGGGGGCGCCGAAAAAATGTAACTGGAATTGCCATCGTACCATATGTAATGATTACAATAAATAAAATTATAATTATTACGTATACTTATTGAAATGAATTATATATGTATATAATACCATTGCAACTTAGATATGTGTCTGTACAACTTGAAGATGTAATTGGAGAAAATTGTGAAAGACGTGCACGGTCTCAATTTATACTACTTTACGAAAGGAATGCTTCCTAATGGTGAGAAATTTGAAAATGTTTGACATGAAGTTGATGTCATAAACGATGTTTATTTATTGATAGTTCAAAATTTGTTTAACTACTAATAAAATAAATTTGTTCCATTGTCAAGAAATGAAACCAAATGAAATACCGGCTCTCACGCATACTCGCTATGAGTGGACGCCGACGCACACATACTCAACGCTTCGACCTGTAGCTTGGCGCTTGGCTGATTGGGACGCGCGAAGATTTTTAGGAGCGATCGCACTCACACAGATTCGCTGCATGTGAGTTCCGTACGTGACACCAGCGCGTACCCGATGCTCCGCGCTCGTCGTTTCGAAACAACAATGTACTTTAAACTCATTGTTTTCATCTTTCGCCGACTCGTGCGATCCACGTCGTTCACGACTCGCGCATTCGGTGTTTACCGATGTATTGAAATTTTGCTAATTACCATCGTTTGACCGTGAGCCGAAATATTTCAGGACAAATGTTTTGCAATAAAATTACCAATGTAGGGGACAAATATTTCAATTAAAGGTTTTTATCATCCGAGCTCATTAATTCATTCTCAAAATGATTATTATAATTTAAATTTTTGCAATGAATGAGATAACGGTAGCAACATGGGTAACTAAATAATAATACTAACGATAAGAAAGATTGATACTGTTATTTTACGGTACGATTTTAATTAATTTCACATTACTTATTAAAGTCACCTTATGGACGGTGAAACAAGTAATGAAAAGCTGAACTCATAATAAAATATTACAAAACTGTAATGTGTTTCGTGCGATTGCTATCAACTGTAAAATGTGCCGAAAAAAATTTGCGTAAAAAACCGTACCCACTCTTCCCCTCCGTCAGGATTTGATCTTGCGACACGTACGTTACACCTGACGTCGAACCATGTTGTTGGATATCTCCTTCCATCTAGGTTTTATGTGTTCCCTACGGAACATTCATAATTTTTTTATTAATTTCCGAGCTTATAAAAATTGTATCTACAGTATAACTTAACTCTCGAGCACCAACGTTGTAATTTTTCCTGTATCATTTGCGGATGAAATAAATGAGGTAAGTGAAGAGTAAAGTCAAAAAGGGCGCCACGGGTATTCTTCCCTTAGCATCATATGCGAGCAGTGTTGGTAAGCGTAGGTAAGCCACCACCGTCAACTGCCGCATGGTATTATCATCGCACGTGCGCGAGCCCCTACCAGAAATTCGTTGCGCCGCCCTTGGGGGCAAAAACGGTGAAAGCTCACGTACAAAACCAGAGGGCAGCACACGATGCGATCGCGCGACCCTGCCCGTGAGCAATCTCCCAACTCACCTCAGTATGAGCACTCTCTTGACAGATACGTTATCAGGGGGGGCACTCCTTATGGGAGGAATGTAACGCGGAAGTTAGTTCACCTACTCCAACCAATGACTGCGCTAGTGTCGTGACTTCTCATTCTAATAGAAAGAGAACAACAGAGAAAAAATATTCTAACCAATAGCAAGAGACTTCAGGAGGCGCAGCGTAGATGCGCATGCAAATAGTCGGGACAAGTGAACCAAAGTGAACCTAACCTCAATTAGTGGCAATATTTTTACAAGTTTCGATTACCTCGGATATTAAATCGCAAACGTGAATTTGTGAGTAAAAGTGTAAATCAAGAACAGTTTGTAGTTTCTTACTATAATAATTAAATGGATTAAATGCGATGTATAGATCGCCTTTAAATCGATGAAACTAATTATAACAAAAATTAAATTTGTATAGAATTTGTATAACGAAAAATATTTATACATTCATAATAATNTTTTGTTAAGTGTTAATAGCACTTTCTATCTATTTTGAAAGTATTTTAACAGTAATTTTATTAAATCTTCTTAATATTTAAATTCATTATATATAATGCCTTTAAATCGATGAAACTAATTATAACAAAAATTAAATTTGTATAGAATTTGTATAACGAAAAATATTTATACATTCATAATAATTCATATTTTTATCTTAATAAATATTTTACTTTTTAACTCAAGTTTAATGTAATTATTTCAGTTCTTACAGTGATTTAAAACAGGAGTTGCGCCACTAACACTTTTGTTACTTCTTTTATGTTTAATATACTATTTTCTTACATTTATATGTGTCAGTTTAAGCAACGTCTGTTTTAATAATTGCAAGTACTTTTTAAATCCCGTAAATATCCCTTCGTTTAATAAATGAATTTGAATAGCCCGCCAAATAATTTAGTTTGCGAAAAAGGTTTACTCCAACCAAAGATGGCGGTAGTGCATAAGCGTTTGTGGCGTCAGCAGCTAGGACAACGGTACCCGTATACACAGTTCAGGCAAACACCGCAAGCGGCGCTCCAATAGGGCACCGCGCAAACACACCTTAGTTCGCCGTATAGTTCGATATATAGCACAAGAAAAAAAGAACAGAAAAGAAGTCTAACGACCAAGTACCGCGAAAGCGCGGTCTATTAAGTTTGTAACAAAAGAAAGTTTATATATGCCAAATAGGCTTAATAATAAGTACTGTGATTATGTTGATACAGTGTTTTATTTATCATTAACAAAAATAAATAATAGGCGAACGAGTCGGATAAAAATAGTGCTAACACGCATGTGGCCGAACGCTCCATACGTTACAGCCCAATACATGGCAGTGTCATGCCCCGTACCAAAGAATTCAGAAGTCCCATAGAAGCCCAGATCCTATGTTAGCGCTTGATGCTCTAAAAGAAAGGGGATTAAACAAATTTACCTATCGTTGCAGAGTGGGGGTAAAAAAGAGATCGCACGTGTTAGCCAACGATATCTCACGTACGGGAGGAAGAGAGACGCATATAGAAAGGCGAGTATTGGGTGTAAGATAAAGAAAGAATGCAATCGCTATATATCGCCATAAGATTAAGAGAGATGGAGAGATGATTACAGCGCCGCCATCCGTCGGCTAACATACTATTTATCGAGCATCGAACGTCCGTATACTTCTGGGCTTCTATGGAGACTTCTGAATTCTTTGCCCGTACTTAATAGACCCTCTGCTGTGAGGCATAAACAATAGTCAACCGCAAACAAAATAAATTATGGACACCGTTCGCATTTGTGGTTGTAAGGGAGTACGCACTTGTCTTGTTTGCGAACTAAAATATAATATTTTAAAGCCAGATTTATTACAAGAGTTGAAGGCAAGTGGTATTAATCATTTAGCTTGTTTAACCTTAATTCTTTATACAGATTAAATATGTAATGACTTGTAATATTTGCAATAGAATGTTTAATATCTATTGAAATTAATTTTAACTTGTTTTAAATTATTAAGATTATGTTGTGTGATGATATTGAAATAATTATTGTTTACAGAATAAAACTTGTTATGTTTATTGTCCATACTGCGATAAGGCTTGGCCTGGGTGGGATATTGAACTGTATAAAAAGCATCCTGACCACGTTGGAGAGGCAATAGATTTTCCAGGTGTTTATATTAAGGTACATTTGATATATTTTCTTCTTTTCTTTTTTATTATAAGTTAAAAATAATGTGGTAGTGGAATCTCAAAGTACGTAACATTCTCTCTACTTTATTAAAGAGACTAAAACTATATATCTTTTGCTTTTTACATTTTCCTGAAAGTTATCGTGGTTTTGTTATTTAATTATTTAAGATAAGGCAGACTTGACTATGGGACTCTATTGTTTATACAGATAACTTGACAACAGAGTGCTAATATTTTATATAAACACAATATTCATCCGTTACTTTAAATGCATGAGAATGAAAGGAACTACTACACTGGTAATTCATTAAAAAAAAAAAAAACCAATCGGGCAGAAGTCTCTTTAGTGATACTTCGTAAAAAGCATTGATCAAGCCACATTCACCATAGTGGTCCTTGGTAATTAAAGGGTTAAGATTAAACTATTATTTTTAAATATCGTTATTTTTCAATGATGATTTTGAAAGTTCCGTGGCAGAGATGACGACCTTGATGATCGAGAGTGTTCTGGATAAATTATTATGGCTTTTAACATAATAAAACAATAAATTAAAATACTAAAAACACAATTATTGTTATCAAAATATGAAATGCGGAATGGTATATAACCTGGACATAAAGGAAAAACACTTGTTTGAAGAAAGCGTTAAATCTTAAGATTTCTTCATCATAACTGGGGTTTCTACACTTTTATGAAAAGTGTACACTGTAGCGTTCTTTTTACCAGAAGCAATGTAAGATATTGCTGTTCTCTTTGAAAGTGTAACTACACTAAGTGTGATGTACTGTATACTTCCTTACACTTCGTACTGAGGGAGAGTAAAAAGTGTATACTTGAATTTCCATGAGGTTTGTTCTATTACCTGCACTTTCCACACCTTAGTGTAATGAGTGTAAAGTAAGTGTAACCGACGGCAGCTCCTTAGAGAGTGGGAAAAAGTACACGCTTCATAAGGAGAACGTCAAAGTGAAAAAACAAAATGGTGTTTGAGCATAGATTCGTGGAATTTGTAGCAAATTAATGTCTTTCAGACAGTGAAATATATAATATATATGTACGTAGTATATATTTACAAATTTCGTGGTCAGTAAACAATTTTTTACTTTGGTACTTCATATGTTATAATGGATTTCGAAAATAACTAAAGGAAACTAATTGCAAATATTTTGAATCTGTTATTTGATTCCTCCGATGACAATTGTGTTTTTTTTTTGCTCAGCTTCCAAAGCTTCATCAGCTTCGTTTTTTTTTGTTTTTTTTAAGTTTAGTTTATAACTTTAAATCGAACGCCTCATCTTGTATAGAAATTTTTATATCAGGTATGGAATATTATATCCAATTATCCAATATTATATCCAATGTATTACTTCGCTTTTCTTTAAGCTACCAAAGTTAAAACATATAGATATACCACGTGCTTGACAGCTTATTCAGGCTTATGTAGCGTGAAAGTGAATTCGCAGTGTTCCATTATTGATTAGGATGTTTGTAAAATCTGACCTGAAATAACGTCTAATTTTTGTTAAGTGTTAATAGCACTTTCTATCTATTTTGAAAGTATTTTAACAGTAATTTTATTAAATCTTCTTAATATTTAAATTCATTATATATAATTTCAGGTTTCTAATATTACACCGATTCACTCTTCAAATACCGCAGACACTTATTGAATACTCAAACACCCTCTAATGTCTCCTGTCCCTGAATGTGTTGCCGAACGCATGATGTTACTGCACATTGTTATAATTTTGGTAATTGTAAGAAGAGCAAAGTACTACACTATATTCTATTATAGATACAAAAGTTACTGTATGAAACTGTATGCGCTGTATGAGCTGAATCGATCGTTTAAGGGTTATAAGCCTTGTGAAGCATGTCAACAGAAAATCTTACATAATTTTAAATGATAAAAGTAATTAATAGAAAAAAGTCTCGAACCTGGTAAATGTTTTTTATGTATTTCATTCCACTAATTCAGTAAGTATTAAGAACGTTTTTCATAGAAACCCCTGCCATCAGTTGCTCCTCTGCGAGCAGTCTTGAATCTTTGAACTGAAATGTAAAGGTAGTCGTAAATGTGTAAATAAATTGAATTTAGAATAACTATTTTGTCACTATTATCAGTATTGAATACTTAATACATGATTGACATTGAGCTAACATTTATCGAATATCTGTTTCTAATTTGAACTAGACTTTTAACTAACGGCTTGAATATTCAAGTCAATATTTTATTATAACAACATAATTAACCATAAATAACATTTCGTCACATGGTTAAACAGAATTCTTAATTTTCTCCGTTGTGAAATGTTTTACGTGAAAATTGATAGCTTAGATCTTAACCTCTAGCTCATTAGATCATTACAATATTCCCAGTGAACACTGTTATATAACTGTTGGGTAAATGTTACGTTTTCGAAGCTAACATGTTATGTAGCATAAAAGTAACGTGGAAGTTAAATGTTAGTTATTATTTCCCCCTTGGTAAGGTAACATGTTATATTAATGTTATAATTTCAGTTACCTTAAAATAATATTAATTTTTNAACATTACTATTATTTTATGGTAACTGAAATTATAACATTAATATAACATGTTACATAACATGTTACCTTACCAAGTGAGAAATAATAACTAACATCTAACTTCCATGTTACTTTTATGCTACATAACATGTTAGTTTCGAAAACGTAACATTTACCCAACAGTTATGTAACAGTGTTCACTGGGTTAATCTTATGACATTTGACAATGAATTATGACAATGACGATGTCGATGATGTAATAAAATAAATGACAGTCAGCACCAATGTATTTCCGTTTTGTTACAAATATGTGCTGCATATACACAGTAATATCAGGACAGTAACATAATGTAAGATGAGAGTAACAAAGTTATGCTACATTTACATAGATATGATAGTAACAAATATTATGTAACCCCTTAGCTCCATGTTACATAACCATTAAGTTACTGCATTGTAACAAATGTCATGTAACTAGTTAGCTCTATGCTACATAACTGTTAAGCTTGGTGTTCAGTGGGATGTCATTATTAAGTTGATAACTAACTTTATTAACCAACTTTCTTACACTACGATAATATAAGAAACATATCGTAATGTCATTTACTTCTTGCATTGTAATAATTATTATACAGTAAACATTATTTCTTTCGTTCCACTACATATCATAGAATTATTTCTCGTAGTCCAGTACTTATCGTGGGATAATAACATTCCCCATCGTATAGCATAATTTACTACTATTTATTCAATAATAAGTATTACAGTATGAGAAATAATTGTACGATAAGTAGTGGAACAGAAGAAATAATGTTTACTGTATTGTATTGTAATTATTACAATGCGAGAAGTAAATGACACTACGATGAGTTTCTTACTTTACAAAAATGTGAGAAACTTTTCATAGTGACATTTACTTTGTGCAGTGTAATACTTATGAAAAACTTTTTGTAATGTCATTTGCTTCTCGTATTCTAATACTTATGATACAGTAAAAATGATTTCCTTTTCTATTTCCTTCGTTCTACGACTTATTGTTAAATTATTTCTTGTAGACCGGTGCTTATCATAGAATAATAATATTCCTCATAGTACAGTAATTTATTCCGGAAACGATATTAAAATTTCTCATAGTTCCGTACTTATTGCAGAATAGAACTGATTTCCTATATAAATTGCTATAACAGCTAGTAGCCTACGTTCTACTATTTACTACTTATTTGACAATTTATATAATGCAAATGAGTTTTATTCTGTGATAATTATTAATGTATGAGAAATAATTGTTTTTTTTTTACTGTACAGTAATTACTACACTGCGAGAAGTAAATGGCATTGCAAAAAGTTTCTGACTATACCATGACGTTAATAATAAAACTGTATTTTTATTAAATTCGTTAACCTTATTAACCAATTTTCTTACATTACGATAATGTCAGAAACTTTTCGTAGTACCATTTACTTCTTGCAGTGTAATGATTATTGTACAGTAAAATTTCTTTCTTATCTCATTATCCACAACATATCGTACAGTTATTTCTCATACCTTAGTACTTATCACAGCATGAAAATCATCTGCATTATATGAATGGTCAAATAAGTAGTAAATAGCAGAACGTAGAATACTAGCTGTTATAGCAATTTATATAGGAAATCAGTTCTATTCTGCAATAAGTACGGAACTATGAGAAATTTTAATATCTTTTCCGGAATAAATTACTGTACTATGAGGAATATTATTATTCTATGATAAGCACCGGTCTACAAGAAATAATTTAACGATAAGTCGTAGAACGAAGGAAATAGAAAAGGAAATCATTTTTACTGTACCATAAGTATTAGAATACGAGAAGCATAAAGCTACATAAAGCGTGACTACGAGTTCTGTTTTACCCTGTATATATGATTCTAAGAAATTGAATGTAGTTAAATAACCATTGTTCACTCACATTGAGATGTAATATTATAAGAAAGATGTAAAAATGGTCTGTGATCTATTCTGCATCACTAACCATAAATCAATCTGACGTGTATTAAAGATACAATTATACATGATGTTTTAAACTTTAATAAACTTGTCATTGTGTTAATTGTTTCAGTTAAATTTTTTAACTGATAATGAAGCTGATCAACTGATAAAGGATCTTGATGAATCTTCATGGGAACCTTCTCAAAGTGGTCGTAGGAAACAGGTACGCAAAAAAATTATATGAACTCTTAAAATAATATATTTATGCAACGTTTAACTCAACGTTTATTTCAGAATTATGGACCCAAATGCAATTTCAAGAAGCGACGAATTCAGCTGGGTTCTTTTGCCGGTTTCCCTAAATGTACAAAATTTGTTCAGGACAAGTTTTTGACAACACCACTTCTTGAAGATTTTAAAACTATCGAACAATGTAGTCTGGAATATGATCCAAATCGAGGAGCATCAATCGATCCTCATATTGATGATTGTTGGATTTGGGGAGAACGTATTGTAACGGTTAATGTATTATCTGATTCTGTCCTTACTATGATACCATATAACGGCCCCGTGACGCGTTATAACTTGATAGACATTACAAAATATTCACCAGTCGTAAAATGTGCCAATGATGTTAAATTTCATGATATACAAGATATGGGACAAGAGATAGTCCGCATACCTATGCCGGCAAAATCGCTAATACTATTATACAATGCTGCAAGGTAACATTTATATTTTTTTAAGTGAACATTTAGAGGTATTGAATACATATATGTTATTTATTCTAACCAGATACAATTGGGAACATACAGTGTTACGAGAAGATATACGGTCTCGAAGAGTATGCCTTGCTTATCGAGAATTTACACCTCCCTATCTTCCTGGCGGTGATCGTATTGACGCAAGTAATGAAATTCTTAACAAATCAACAGTTTTTTGGTAAAAAGTTATCAAATATTAGCATATCTTTCATCTATAAAAAATGATACTTCAAGTGTACAATGTCTGTCCTGTTATAAGGACAAATTTGGGAAGAATGTAATTCCTGATTATATAATGATGTGATGAAAGTAACAAAATGCAGTAAATAGGAGTGGTACTGTTACGTCCCACGTAACGTCACCCCTCCAACTACATATATTAATTAAGTTAAGCGCCGTAATTATTACTTTTCCCAAATATTATGTTATTAATATCGTGTAATATCATCCTCGCTCGACTGTAATTTTCTACCGAACACGCGTTAGCAACGTGCTCAAAATAGGTAACCATCACCATGCGAAAGGTGATAAGAACGAGAATCCCTTGTTCATAATCCTCTAGGACAACGATGGCCCGGGCCAGTGGTAGCCCAACTTAGGGCTTCGAACTTACATTGTTAACACAAGTAAGAAAACTTATAGAAATGGATAATGTTAAGTTGAGGGCAGTGCCCTCCCTCTACTAAAATTTTGAAACAACGCAGTTTAGGAACCGTATAAAAAGGGACGCGCCTATGCACCCTTGTTCTTAGTCTTCGGTCAGTCTTCAGTTTTAGCTTTGTCTCAGTTTTCGCTTAGTTTTTCGCTCAGTTTCAGTCTCGCTAGACAACGAGCATTTCGTAAAGTTCCAGTTTTTACAAGTACGAGCGAGGAAGAAAACCAATTTTCTTGTTATACAAGGTACTATATTTTTTCTATGTTCTAATAAATCAACCATTCACATTTATACGAATTTTCTTTCTTTTCTTCTCCCTTTTGACAGGAGAAACAACTACTATATCCAATTCCTACTACTCCTTCGATATAAGAAGGCGCGGGGCTTGGTCTAGCTTCCCCTCTTCAACTAATTCCTATTATCCTCCAAAAGGAGTCCGGGCCTAGGCCTAGTTTCCTCTATAATTCATATATTACAACCATATTAGTATTAAGCCCTATTTCACCTAATACGCAGATGGTCAGACGATCCGGGAGGAAATATCAACTCCTCGTAACCTTCGCCAAGGCAGAAGGTAGACCTAAAATCACAACCCGTAGGCGTCCACACAGAGGATCAAGGAAAAGGGCCCAAGAGCAACCCCCGGCAGCACCCCCTTCACCTCCAGAGAGGGTGTTTTTAATTTCTGCGGAGCGCCTCGAGATCATCAAGGCGCTCCTCTAAACCTCCACTCCGAGGACAGTTCCTCGTCCAAAACCGCATCGACTCACGAGCGTCGAAGTGCGTACCCCCAATTGGGAACTTATTCCCATTGACATTCCCAAATCCAGCGACCATAACGCCTAGGTGTTAGTACCAGGGGACCCCAGAAACTCCAAGCCATTTGTTATAACCGTAGAATAAAATAAAAATCAACTTTATCTACTTCGTAATATAATCAATTTATTTCTTCCCTCCCAGACGTAACAGTACGTTTTCTTTACAAATATAATAACCACGAAGTAATATAACGAGACATAACATCTGTGGTCGGTTCCACAGGAAGTGGCTCCAGAAATCTCGGATTTTCGCTGATCTAACGAAGCAAGCACCACTTGCGAAAAATGTAGAGATTCCCACCTTATGTGGTCAAAACATTGTCTATCGACATAAATAATTTAAAACGTTTTTAATTTTGCAATTAAAGTATACAACGATAATACAGGCGTATTATACAGAATTGTGATGTTTTTAATGTGATGAAGACCAGCAGACTTTCTACTAGACGATAATGTTTAACCGTTTGAGCCCCTGGGGTCATTGAAAAAACAGTGTCGGAAAATGCCGAACAACGTGATGATATGATGAAGACTAGCAGACTCTCTACTAGACGATAATGTTTAACCGTTTGAGCCCCTGGGGTCATTGAAAAAACAGTATCGGAAAATGCCGAACAATGCAATAGCGCTGACTTAATTGAACGCGAAGAGACCTAAGCGGTGCGATAGCGCTCGCTATTTCGATAGGTCTAAGAGCACTGTCAGTTGTCCATACCATTCAAATGTACTGGGTTTTGTCGACATGAAATCTAAACAGCGAGATCGCGCTGGTTGGGACTCAAATGGTTAAGGTGAAGTGAAACACCCTTCAAATCAGTCGATTCTAATACAACACTTTTTTTTTAAGGGTATTAGACCAAACTGTCCGAAACTTTGACACATCACTCCTGATCATCTAAGAATTGTCCTGACACATTCAAAATTTGGATATTGGGACAAAATTTTTTAATTCAGCCCAGATCAGAACCAAAATGGCGTCGAGCTCTCATATTTCGATCGATATACTATTATCGAAAGCTCTGATATGAGAATCGAAAGGGTCAGGACAATTTTACAACAATTTAGAACACTCTGGTAATCGATAAACTCGCATTTGAACGGGATAAAGGCAAAAAAAGTGTTGTATGCGCTTCTATGCCAAAACGATGGTAAATCGAGGTCTCGCAGTGAAGATTTAATTGACCTGGAAATCACAGATGGCGCAGGGGGTCCCTCTGCAGTCAGTTAGGGCCCCAGAAAGCATGAATCCAGAGGATTTCTGGAGTTCTACTTCGATTTCTTTATAATTACTGTACTGTGGAGAATGCCATTTGGTACAATACCCAATATAATTCGACACAGCTGTCGATACAAAAACGAACGTCGGCAACGTAGGCATTTAGAAAAATCTTTATCGACGTCGACCAAGTTCCTCGACATGTTTCACTTCACCTTAAGTTATGCGGATGCTTACTCGTCTCCAGGTGTTCTGTTCTCCAATTTCCGTTTATTTTTTCATTGATATTTTGTCCTAGGACGTAACACTGAATTCGACCGATGTTGTAGGGTGACGCCCTGTAGGCAATTAAAGTATAAAAAGTCATAAATCCAGGGGATGTTGTAATTATACTTCAAACCCTTTATGTATTGTGACGTGGCAGATTTATGCAGTCACAACTCGGGACGGTTCGGAGGCGGTAAGTGAACCTTTTACATTTATTAATTTTATTCGTCAGATTACTACCAGCTATCGGCACCTCAGTTTCTCCTCGGCAATCATCTATCTGTATGTTTGTACACTTTGTCTACACTTTCTACATTTTAACGAAAAGTCTTCACTTTAGCGCTTGTGTTGTCGGAAGTGACGCAAGACGTTGCTGTTCTTTTTGCGAGTACATTGGCAAGTATGAATAGCGATCTATCATACATTGGCAACGGAATATACGAAAGGGATTCATGTACACCGAGGGTACACTTTCTCTACACTTTCTACCCTCGATTCTAAGCAAGTGCAAAATGTTATAAAAGTGTAGCCCATGAATCTGGCGACAAATTTAAAAACTGAAAAGACCAACAAATAGGAAAATACAAAATTTGTACCAACATTTTAATGTGATATAAATAGAAATAATAATTAATTCATCTACTTCATGTATAGAACGATTTAACGTCTTAATTTTGTATGTAATCTTCGAAACAATTTACAGGAATTATGTATTACTGCATAACTGAGGTGTTGAAATTAAATAAATTATAAATTTTCACTGTTGTAGTTAAAATTGTGTTTCGTTCTGCTGCACTAATATCCTGACTCTTATTGGCTTTCAATACATGAAATTCGGGAAAGAAGAAATTTACGACTTCTATAATTACAAGATAATGGAACGATTAGTAGGGTGCGAGGAAAACTAAGACCAAGTACCCAGTGAACACTGCTATATAACTGTTGGGTAAATGTTACGTTTTTGAAACTAACATGTTATGTAGCATAAAAGTAACATGGAAGTTAGATGTTAGTTATTATTTCACATGGTAAGGTAACATGTTATTTGTTCATTGGTAAGGTAACATCTTATGTAACATGTTGTATTAATGTTATAATTTCAGTTACCTTAAAATAATAGTAATGTTTCATACATTTAATAAAAAAGATGACGCAATTTTATCCAAAATTATATAATTTTTTATTTTTTATTATTTTTTGGTACTTGACAATAGTTAGATATTAAATTACAAGTCAGACTTTCAACGAAATTATGTAAATGATAAACTATCTGATTTTACTTAAAAACTATTATGATTTCATTCGACTAGCAAACAATTACTGATAATGTATATGCGCGTACGAATTAAAATCACATTTTTCATACGAGTAGTAAATAAAATATGATATACATTAATCTTATGAATTTTAACGATGAATTATGACAATGACGATGATGTACTAAAATAGATGACAGCACCAATGCAGTTCTGTTTTGTTACAAATATGTGCTGCATATACACAGTAATATCAGGACAGTAACATAATGTAAGATGAGAGTAACAAAGTTACGCTTCATTTATATAGATATGATAGTAGCGAATGTTATGTAACCTGTTAGCTCCATGTTAGATAACTGTTAAGTTACTATATTGTAACAAATGTCATGTAACTATTTAGCTCTATGTTATGTAACTGTTAGGTTATTACATTGTAACAAACGTTATGTTATTTGTTAGTTTCAAGTTATGTGACTGTTAGGTTTGGTGTTCAGTGGGTAAGTACTTGTGTAAATTACTTTTATTTTTATAGATGGTATGGAATTCAAATTAAATGCATCGGAAACCCAATTTCAATGCGGAGACAATATTTTGTAACGTCAGAGGAAAAAATTTAAATATTCCATTACGTACATCTGTTCATGTACACGCTGCGCGGCCGGAGAGGGCAGTGCGGACAGGAGGAAACCATCGACGGAGTCCAGTATACACTCGGGGTCAGGGGGGTGACACTCCTTATGGGAGGAGTGTAACGCGGAAGTTAGTTCACATACTCCAAGCAAAGACTGCGCTAGTGTCGTGACTTCTCACTCTAATAGAAAGAGAACAACAGAGAAAAAAAATATTCTAACCAATAGCAAGAGACTCCAGAAGGCGCAGCGTAGATGCGCATAAAAATAGTCGGGACAAATGAACCAAAGTGAACTTAACCTCGATTAGTGGCAATATTTTTTTACATGTTTCGATTGCGTCGGGTATTAAATCGCGATCGTGAATTTGTGAGTAAAAGTGTTAATCAAGAACAGTTTGGAGTTTCTTACTATAATAATTGTAATAATTAAATGGATTAAATGCGATCTATAAATCGCATTTAATCATTGAAACTAATTATAACAAAAATAAAATTGGTATAGAATTTGTATAACGAAAAATATTTATACATTCATAATAATTAATATTTTTACCTTAATAAATATTTTACTTTTTAACTGATATTTAATGTAAGTATTTCAGTTCTTACAGTGATTTAAAACAGACGTTGCACCACTGATACTTTTGTTACTTCTTTTATGTTTAATATACTGTTTTCTTACATTTGTGTGTGGCAGTTTAAGTAACGCCTATTTTAATCATTGCAAGTACTTTTTAAATCCCGAAAATATCCCTTCGTTTAATAAAGGAATTTGAATAGCCCCCCAAATAATTTAGTTCCCGAAAAAGGTTTACTCTAACCGAAGCTGCAGTAGTGCATAATAGAGTTCTAAATCCAGTAAGTTACGTCAGAAACGAAGAGAAATTCCCGGTAACTTATCGGTAATTTCTCCAAAGCCTTTTTTATCGAGAAATTATGAGAATTTGAATTTTTCAACAGATCGAACGAGAGGTTTCGATTAGCTATAGAGAAACATCGTAGACGGGAATTTCCGTTGTACGTTCTCCGTAGCCAATCAAAACCTTCCATTCGCTTCGTCGCAGAATGAAATATTAGTTCATTTGAAACAAATCGCATGGAATTTTCCGTGAAGTTGTAGATACGTGAATATTCTTAGCTAGAGGTAAATACGACCCTATAATCAATATTTTCTAATAGTAATTATTACTCTATAGCTTGAACTTTGAAGTTGATTGAAAAAAAAAAGTTATTTAAACGAAGAAACCTAAAGTATAAATAACAAAATTAACGTTCTCTTAAATTCTCAATGTTCCCGGTAACTTACGATATGTTTCACAGTTACCTTCTGCAATTTAATGTTACCGAGAATTTTCGAACTCTAGTCACAATCCGTAGAAGATGGCGTTCACGGCGCTTAATTTTCTATCTTTTTTTATACGCTTCACTATTTCGCTTAAAAATTTGTGCCGACCCAGTTCACATGAATGGTGTCGCATTTTCACCACCAAAAGCGTTCCGTAATACCGTCAGTTACTCATTTTTCACATTTTCGCTAAATTTGCTTTACGTAATAGACCCTCAGGATTGAATCTGCGTAATTAACACGATGGAGACATGAGATTTACTGAATCCGGACTCGATAAATCCCGGATTTAGAAGTGTGATGGAGATGTCATTTTCTCGCGCTTTTTCGCTTCTAATCAAATACAGTCTGTCCAATGAATTTGACATTTTAATTAGTATGTAACAAAAGAGTAAGAATCGATATTTAATTGTTAGTATTAATTGACGACAATGAGCTGGAACAGTTTTCGGGTGAAAATCGATCTATCTAGCCTTTATCACGATTCGAGGCGTCACAGTTGGGTATATATTGTTCAATTTGAGAGACCACAAATCAGAGATTTGGAAAAGCATGTTGCCCAAGTGTTCGGTATTAAAGAACCGTTCCACCTCTTAATAAATGGTAATGAGTATTTACCACCTGTTGAGGACATTCGTATAATAAAGGAAACCGATGTACTAGTGTTAGTATACCTTAAATCTATAAACATAATGAATGCTTTGACATGTTGATTGTTGAAACAAATGGCGAGTAAGCTATTGTCATGCAATAATTCAACATGTCAAAATTAATGAACTTAACCGATTGACTGCTAAGCAATTTTTGCAAGAACGCACGAAAACTACGGAGCAACAAAGAAACACTGGAACTCGCAGCACAAAAGTGCTGCGTCGTGATTTTCGAGACAAATGAATGCAGTGCTTTTGTGCGACGTAGCAGTCAAACGGTTAATATATATCCTGTAAAATTGCAATAAGGTACTGCTTTTATTTATCGTCAAGTAATCACAGCCTCTTTTATAGTGTTTTGCCAGGCACTGGGCATTGGAGTCATGTTTCAGATAGATTTACTCCTTGCGGGAATTCTTCGCAAAGGAGTATTGAGGTTGAACTATTAAGACCCAGCGAAACTCAGATCATTAAATCTTATGTACCAGAAAAGGCAAAGGAAGAACAAGACGTTGTACCTGAAAAATGTAAGCATGCTTTCATTTATTTACTATACTAAAATACCGTTTTCTACAGTAGAGTGCACTCTCGATTATCCAGGGTAATGGCATGGAATGATTGCCTGGGTAATTGAAAATTTAGGTAACATAAAAGTAATTGCAATGTGTTTATGCTTGGTCGCACTTATCTATCATATTCCGAATAAAAATCGCTGGCAGTCTGGATACATCAGTCGGCAAGGTGTACAGTTCACAATTCACAAGCCAGATAATAAGCATCTAGTTGAAGGTCGATTTACACACATCCAATCTATTCTGTATCAATTCAACTCAGTTTAGTACCGTACCGTTCTAGCAATCTTTAGTGCAAGACTATTTACATCTTTCTAGCAGGTGTCCGTGTCACATCACACACTACCAAACAACAGTTTTGTAATCACTGCAATGAAGAAGCGAACTTTTCTAGGAAAGAACTTAGTATGATTTCCTAACTTCTAAATGAAGACAAAGCAGAAATCACAAAATAAGGCATGCGTGGATTCATTTGCATTAGATAAAGATGGAGCTTCTATTCCCAAATTGAAAGGTCCACTTTCGCAACTTATCGGATTTGTTTCCTTCTTCACTTTCATTTATAGTTTCCATTGCATATGTGTATACAGACTGATATATTCACCAATATATGCGTGAATGTCGACACAAAAGACTACTCAGTAGTAACATTCGCCCAGCTAGGGAAGAAGACTGATACAGGCTCGCTCGAGTTAGTATGGATAGTGCTACATCGTTACGTTGCTATACGACGCGTCATATACTATATATATATAGAAACACGTACGGAATGGATGACGTCACAGGCTTGGTATGTAAGCAAGCATGCGCTTGTATGCCAAAACGATGGGAATACGAGGTCTCGGAGTGAAAATTTAATTGTCCTGGAAATCACAGATGGCGTAGGGGGTCCCTCTGCAGTAAATTAGGGCCCCAGAAAGCATGAATCCAGAGGATTTCTGGAGTTTTACTTCGATTTCTTTATAATTATTGTCCAAAAACGACATATGGAGTATGTCATTTAGTACAATATCCAATATAATTCGACCCAGCAGTCAATATAAATACGAACGTCGGCAACGTAGGCATTTAGGAAAATCTTCTTTATCGACGTCGATTAAGTTCCTCGACGTGTTTCACTTCACTTTAAATGGAGATGCAAGAGTCAGCCTATATATATCTGAGAAGTCAAATCGTTGATGAAAGTATTGTCCGAATTGGGTGTACCGATTCGTTTCAAATTTTACCACGCGAATATGGAGGCCCTAAAGGTAGGGCCTAAACCTCACGAAATTTCATACTTCATCAAAAATTTATTTACTTATCATGGACTTAGAACCAACATGGCGTGGCCCGTGTACGCTTTCGATGTTTTACGCTTCTTGGAGGCTTAGAATCGAAAATGGAGAGTTTTAGGACCCCTAGTTCGAACAGTTTAGAATACCGTACAAATGGAATATTACAGAGTTAGATGGGAAAATGTGGTAAATACTTTCACCAACGATTGCAAGAGAGTGCTGGCTAGTCCTGCGGCTAACGCGTGTTTTTAGAGCAAACATTTAGTTGCAGCTAAACGTCACAGATGGCGACGTTGGTTCGTCAAAATATAAACAGTCATGAATTTATGGGATTTCGGCAGTTTTACATCGATTTTTTTTTATCATTATTTTACCGAAATGACATATAGAACCCATCGGTCGTATAATTCTCAACGTAGACTGTAAAAGACTTCAACGTAAATATAAATGTCGGTAATGGGACGCGTCAGCTTAGGTTACCACTTGAGTATTCAAAACGGCATTACCACCAAGAAGGGTATAGATGAATATTATTTTATCGACGTCGATTAAATTTCTTAGCGCCTTTCATATCCTCTTAACTGTAAAAAAAGAAGCATTTCACATTGCGAATCGCTTTCCTTTTGTAACATGCGAAACCAATACGTACTACCGTGTCAAAGAAAGTTTCACTTTAATAAGTTCTAATCTCTATATTTTCAGGTGAGTCAATGCAGTCTAGCACCGTGGAGTCAAAAACTGATGACGATTGCGTAATAGAAGATGTTAATATCGTTAACAAGGTAGACGTACAACGAAAACGAAAAAGAACGCGCAGATCTCAACGCAAGAAAACAAGCAATAACACTTCAGAGCCTCCGTTATCAAGCTTACTCCAACAACAATTAAAGAAGCCGACCATCATAGATTCGGTTGTTATTCCGTCAGGAAAGCACACGCGTTTTGACAATGATGTATCTGAAAATGGAACGTCTGCAAACGACGAAGATATGGGTCCCAGCGAGAAGATAAGGACTTTAAGTGAACGATCTAGCATTTGTGAAAACGGTTCGGCAAGCTCCAAGGACCTCTCCGTGCTGTTATCTCTTCAGAAAAGTTCTCAGCCACTTACGTTTACCAGTAAGAGTGATAAAAAAGATGTGAAAAGTAAAGACACATCGAATGGGCCGTCACAGGATAGTGGGGTGAAGGAAATGGAATTAACGAACAATATCCCTGTAAAAGATGTTGATATCTCCTCGGTGAATCCACAGTCTTATCCCATTATGAAATCAATACCACAACTTAACGATATCATTTCATTTAAGGTAAAGTAAAAGCAGTTTATACAGAATATTGTGTTGTTTAAATAGGCATCAAAGAAACGTTACGAATCGTGACAATCCCCATTGTAATATAAGGTGAAATGAAACCTTCGTCAAATCAGTTACTCGAATAAGACACTTTTTTTTAACGGCGTTCACCACCAAAGTGGGGACGATGACTTCCACCGCTAGATGGCATTAGCATCGAATTCGGTGGGAGGTAATCAAAACGTACTTTCTCGCTCGGATGAGGGAGACGCGACGCACAATGGGCGGTGTTTAGCAACGGGCGAAAAATGTGTGCGTATTTTGCACGATAGGACTCACACAACGGCTAGACGCCTCTGGACTAGGCGCCGAAACGTGGGTGACCCCCGGCCGCCCGCACACGCCAGTTGCACGCTCCGCCTAGAGTCGGCAACGGTTGCCAAGGAATGCCCAAATTCCTCGCGAGAAACTCGAAAATCCTGAAAAAGGTGCTCCACGGGGACAACGATTTTGAGCGTATTTCTCAACCGATCGAGCTCAACGGGTGCTCGTTTTAAAGATAAAATGTTGACGTGTGTTTATATGGGAGCGATTTTCGATCGAGCATCTCCTTCCTAGTTAAAAGGGCATTGAAATTATGTCGTTGCACTTTTTTATATGAAAATGACCACTTATCGAAAATCGCTCCCATATAAACACGGATCAACGTTTCATCTTCGATATGAGCACTCGTTAAGCTCGATCGGTTTAGAAATACGTTCGGAATCGTTGTCCCCGTGAGGCTCTGCAAAATCGCTAGAGTGGTGAGCGACCTTAAGGGTACTGGACCGAACTGTCTGAAACTTTGACACATGACTCGTGAGCACCTAAGAATTATCTCGACACTTTCAAAATTTGGATTTTTGAACAAAATTCTTGATTTAGCGTAGCTCAGAACCAACATGGCGTCGAGCTCTCGTATTTCGATTGATATACAATTATCGAAGGCTTTGATATGAGAAATAAAAGTGTCCGGATAATTAATCAGTCATCAATTAATAGTAATCGAAAAACTCGCACTTGAACGGGAAAAAGGCACAAAAAATGTCTTATGCGCTTCTATGCTGAAACAATGGTAACACGAGGTCTCAGAGAGAAAGTTTAGTTAGCACTGAAATCACAGATGGCGCAGAACGGCACTCTGCAGTCAATAAGGTCATCAAAAACCATGAATCAAGGGGGGTTTCTGGAGTTTTACTTCGATTCCTTTATAATCATTGTAAGGGAACGATATATGGAGTATGCCATTTAGTACAAAACCCAATGTAATTCGAAAAAGCTGTCAAAATAAATACGAACGTCGGCAACACGAATATTTCGAAGACTTTTTTATCGACGTCGATTAAATTTCTTGACATGTTTCACATCACCTTAATATGAACTATCTGTACGTACTGTTAAGTTGATAATGAAAGACGCTGAGAAATTTAATCAAGGTCGATAAATTAAAATTCATTTACACCCTTTTTGGTGGGAACATCATTTTGCATATTGAACCGGTAACATAAGCTGGCGCGTCGCGTTACCGACATTTATATTTACATTGAAATATTTTACAGTCTACGTTGATAATTGTACAAACTGAAGCGTTCCATATGTCATTTCGGTGAAGTAATGATGAAGAGATCGATGTAAAACTGTCGAAATCCCGAGAATTCATTATTCAAACGACTGTTTAGGACCAACATCGCCATCTGTGACGTTAAGCTGCAACTAAATTTTTAGTCTAAAAACGTGTCAGCCACGAGATAAGCCTTTTCTCTTGCAATCCTTCGTGGAAGTATTTTCCATATTTTTCCATTTGATTCTGTAATATTCCATTTCTACGGTATTCTAAATGATACGAGCCAGGTCCTGAAACTTTTCATTTTCGAATCTAAGCCTCCAAGAAGCGTAAAACATCGAAAACGTGCACGGACCACGCCATGTTGGTTCTAAGTCCATGATAAGTAAATAAATTTTTGATGTATGAAATTTCGTGAGTTTTAGGCCCTACCTTTAGGGCCTCTATATTCGCGTGGTAAAATTTGGAACGAATCCGGACACTCAATTTGTAGAATACTTTCACCAACGATTTGACTTCTCAGATATATATATAGGCTGACTCTTTCATATCACCTTAAAGAATACGGGTAACTTTGAAACATCAGTTGTAGTTTGTAATGGGTTTTAGTATATTAAGGTGAAGTGAAACACCCTTCAAATCAGTCGATTTGAATACAACACTTTTTTTTAAGGGTATTGGACCAAACTGTCCGAAACTTTGATACATGTCTTGTGATCGTCAAAGAATTGTCCTGACACATTGAAAATTTGGAATTTTCAAAAAAATTTTTTAACTCAGCCCAGACCAGAAACAAAATGGCGTCGAGCTCTCATATTTCGATCGATATACTATTATCGAAGGCTTTGATATGAGAATCGAAAGGGTCAGGACAATTTTACAACAATTTAGAACACTCTGGTAATCGATAAACTCGCATTTGAACGGGATAAAGGCAAAAAAAGTGTTGTATGCGCTTCTATGCCAAAACGATGGGAATACGAGGTCTCGGAGTGAAGATTTAATTGACCTGGAAATCACAGATGGCGCAGGGGTCCCTCTGCAGTCAATTAGGACCCCAGAACGTATGAATCCAGAGGATTTCTGGAGTTTTACTTCGATTTCTTTATAATTACTGTACTGTGGAGAATGCCATTTGGTACAATACTCAATATAATTCGACACAGCTGTCGATATAAAAACGAACGTCGGCAACGTAGGCATTTAGAAAAATATTCTTTATCGACATCGACCAAGTTCCTCGACGTGTTTCACTTCACCTTAAGGAGAGAAATTCACACAGTAAATTGAAAATAAATCAATGAGTTGCCGGGCTACACGCGTTGAAAGTGAAACTTCCAAGGTGAGGAGAATTCTTATACATTATTGATTACTCTTAATTGTTCCTTCAGGAAATATGCATTCGGTACTAGGCATAATTACTTCGATTTTTTATTTTTATTATTTTCATTCAAAATTAAATGTCAATAATTAACCGAGATAATAACGTAATAATAAAAACGCTTACCGAAATTGTCTCAATACCAACAGACAAAGATGAATATAAACGGTAACAAACTCTGTGAAAATAAAATTTACGTAAATTGTGACAAGACTGAAACACAAGGATGAATATAAATAGTAATTAACTGTTAAAAAAACAAAAAGAAAAACGTTTTATCTTTCAAAACGAAACTCTTTTAGACACGCGAACTGGCATGAACCACCGTGCCATGAGAAGTTTCACTTAAAACCCAGTGAACACTGTTATATAACTATTGAGTAAATGTTACGTTTTCGAAATTAACACGTTATGTAGCCTAAAACTAACATGGAAGTTAGATGTTAGTTATTATTTCCCACTAGGTAAGGCAACATGTTATGTAACATGTTATATTAATGTTATAATTTCAGTTACCTTAATATAATATTAATTTTTCATACATTTAATAAAAAAGATGATGCAATTTTATCCAAAATTATATCATTTTTCATTTTTAATTATTTTTTTGGTACTTGACAATAGTTAGATATTAAATGACAAATCAGACTTTCAATGAAATTATGTAATGATGAACTGTCTGATTTTACTTAAAGACTGATTTCATTCGACTAGCAAACAATTACTGATAATGTATATGCGCGTACGAATTCAAATCAAATTTTTTCATAGGAGTAGTAGACAAAATATGACATAAATTAATCTTATGATATTTGACGATGAATTATGACAATGACGATGACGATGATGTAATAAAATAGATGACAGTTAGCACGGATGTAGTTCTGTTTTGTTAGAAATATGTGCTGTATATATACAGTAATATCAGGACGGTAACATAATGTAAGATGAGAGTAACAAAGTTACGCTTCATTTATATAGATATGATAGTAGCGAATGTTATGTAACCTGTTAGCTCCATGTTACAAAACTGTTAAATTACTACATTGTAATAAATGTTATGTAACTAGTTAACTCTATGTTACATAACTGTTAGGTTATTACATTGTAACAAACGTTATATTATTTGTTAGTTTTAAGTTACGTAACTGTTAGATTTGGTGTTCAGTGAGAAAGTGTTGAAACTTCAAAGTTTATCCAGAAGCTTTTTTTTTGTAGATTTTGAAAATGGGAAACGACTATACGCCTCAATGCTCTAACTTCGTCATTGGCAAAGTGACAGACTTTCACCCGACTAGATCAAGTTGCACGTTTCAAATATTAAGTAAGTTCCAGCAATTATAGTATTTTGCAGCATTGTTTAAGTAGAATAAGTGCAGATATTAAACTTCTTGTAGAGGGTAAAAGTGAATTGGAAACTCCGAAAGGAAAGTTTGCTCTTCCAGATGACTTGCAACCAGGCAACGAAATAGAAACTGTTACGTTTTATACCACGCAGCTCATCGAACCACGATTACTCAAAAGAGATTAGTCGTACAAGTGAAATTCTGTCGAAGACTCAAGGAAAGACTGAAGTTTTAGTTTTTTTACCCGATTGACTTGCAGATGGAGCCACTGCCTGCAAACGATTTTTCCTTATTGTTTTCGCTTACCATTTAATAGAAAGGATATTGAAACAAGAGATCTCTGTACGTACATAAGTTATGTGAATAAATAACAAATTTTAAATAATTCACAATTAAACACCTAAAATAGAATTCTTTGAAGCCTACGAATATAATAATTTTATTTCTGTGATATAACTTACGATACAATGAGTTACACGATAACAGATTCAAGCATCAAATTGGGAGATTCCTCAACATCCATTGTTGCCGAAGAAATAATAGATTGGTACCATTTTACTTCCGCTTCAGCAAGGTCTCTTCGTCTATAAAAAAAAGTTTACGCTGTGAAGATGATATTCATATAAGACTTTCAAACGTTGATCAATGACGCGATTTAGCATCAATAAGACATTTTTCATGCGAATCTATTCATATGCGAAAAAAAATCTGTATGAACTGGGGTAGGATCCTGGAACTAAGGTAGGTCCCGAACTTCGTGAAATTAAATTTTTTTAATTCAAAAAATGCTTTTATTTATCATGGACTAGACCGAATAAGATGCCGTCTGTATTTTTTCTGTTTTGCGTATTTTGAAAGCTTACAATCACAAATGAAGACTTTCAGGACCCATATCAAGCGATGGAGAATATTTCAGAAATCGAATATTACAGAATCATATAGGAAAATATGGTAAATACTTTCACGAACGATTGTAAGAAAATGCTGACTTATTCCGTGAGCAATGCGTGCTCTTAGAGCAAAAATTTAGTTGCAACTAAACGTGATAGATGGCGCCGTTGGTCGATTAGAGCATCAAAAATCATGAATCCAAGGAATTTATTTTACTTCTATCCCTTTATAATCATTTTACTGAAATGACGTAGAGTATTTAATTTCGTGTAATTCTCAACATAGAGCTTAACAGACGTCAGTATAAATATAAATGTCGGTAACGAAGCCCATCGGCTTATATTACCACTTGAATATCCAGAATGGTATTATCGCCGATAACGATATGGATGAATTTTATTTTATCATCATCAATTACATTTCTCAGCACCTTTCACTGCAATGTTTGTAACATTATTGTTTCACTGGTGGAAGGTTATCACTAAGGTTATAATGAAAGTACATTTATCAGAAGCAAACAGAAAAGCGAAAGCGAAAAATCGTATCGTAAAAACGAAAACGAATGCAACAGTTTAAATGATGCGAAACTTTTGCATAAGATGAAAATGAAACGAAATATTTGTTACAACCCTAGTCCTCACCTTTGTATTTTACTAAACAAGTGGAATACCATTAGTTCTAGGTTCAATGTACAAAAGAAGTTTAGTACGTACACATTTCTATCATCATACTGTGGTTTTCGTACAGGTTTCCATCCAGTATTTGGTACATCATTCGCGAGCATTATTCCACGAATGCAGAAAGTGAGTGCTACTGTCATTAAGTTGAAATCCTGTAACGTAAACCAAGGAAATATTTCACATATTATAGTACACGCAGGCCTATTTTGGAGACATGAAATGCATTTAATTGTTCTATGATTTCATTTCACTTATTGAATTGATTTATAAAAGGCATTTTATTTATTAGAAGGACCATACATCGGACAATGTAATATTTTGTGAATCTAGTGCGACAAGAGTAAAAAACAATTTAAACATTCCGTTTTAATCTTTTAAAAACGGTGCTGAGAACCTAACAAATTCTTAGAAATACAGTTTGTCTCTAATGTTAATCACTCGACAAACTAATCATCACCTTATTTCAAAAGCGATGGTCAATCCTAGCCGTTCAATTATAAAGGTCGTGTTGTAAAAGCATTCATCTGCCACAATTTGATTACCATCGATATTTTACGTCAAGATATGCTATTGATATTTTCGTATGTGGAAAGATTTGCTAACTCGTGTATATTTAATAAAATCGTACCGAAGTGTATTGATAAAATAACCCAAATTTAGTTAAATATATTAACTTCTTTAGAGTGCCAAAGGTTTGTATATCTTCATACGTCATAATTTTATACTTTTTATAATATTAGAGTTTGGTAGATCAATACAATTTTGAGTGCAATAAAATCCATATTTAAAAAACGCTTATATCTTTACAGATACCGTATTAAATGTCCCAAGACACTTTGATTACTTCAGACAGATTGCATAATTAAAGTCACAAGAAAAGAATAAAGTAACAGCTGTTCATTCTGCAGTTTTGAAATTGATAGTCTTCAAATATACAAATATCTGAGACGCAGATACAAAGAAATGAAGGTAATTCTTCCAGCACTAAAGCTAGTAATTCTGCCGATACTACTAATTGAGATTGTATTTAAATTTGTAGAATAATGTGATTACTTTATATTTTAAGGTTTATTTTATAATAAAAAATAAGTATTGACTATAATTCAATTGTTTCATTCTAATATATAATCTTGTCCCACTCGATTTGCACAATATTGCATTGGATATTAATTCATTATTCAACCTACACGCCACTCGGATAACATGCAGTCTGCCATGCTGATTACTTCCGATGCTAGTTCAACCTTTTCCATGACTGTCATGGTGTTCAGATAATTTTCATGAAGAAACCGGTAGAACTGTCCTGATTGCGGCGCGAACGATTGTGCAATTTCCTCTGGTGTATGTACAAATGTCCACGATTCATTCTGGACAACTCCTGTGAAAAGGAAATTAATGGAAAATAAATGATTTTTATGCGCTGGTCATTTATTATAGCAATCATCAACTTACTTTTAGGATATATTACCTGCCCGATTCCATGAAGAAGACTCACACAATTTGCTCGGTTTGTACATTGATTGTTAGATGGGCTTTGGGAAACTAAACAATTGTAAAATAATAGATTTCAATTTATAATTTGCAAATAAATGCAACTGACCTCTGATAGAAGAAAAAATAAATCTCAGCAGAATATTTCGCACATCCCCAATTCCGCTGGCTAATACTTCGTTGACTGTTTCCTGAGTCACGTTGAGAATGTGGCTGGCTTTGGAAGCTAAAATGGTTGAAACGCGCTTCATAACATTCTTCATAGAGGCTTGAGTAACTGGATTAATGCTGCAAAACAGACATGTAATAAAATTGTTCCATTTTATTTAATATCTTAGATTATTGCACCTATTCTTTGGATTACCTTATGTGATCGATGTGAAATCTGAGCATCACATGTGGAGGAAACAAAATTTGCAATATTCCATAGTTCTTAGAATCCGTGCAAATCAGCACAAGAGGTTCTTTGCCCAATTGATAATATTTTCTACAAGGAATTTCAATCAATATAATACAGAAATTGAACAAGCGGAGATCGAAATGTAAAAGACTGACTTACATACTCTAGAATAGCATAGAAGCTTTCCTTGTCCTCGGTAAAAACATTTGGAAAATCTTTAATTAACAGAACGCGCCTGGTACTGTTGCCAAATACAGAGTTGTATCGAGTGGCGCGAATCAAAAAGTCTTCAAATTTGTCTGCCTGACGCATTACCCTATCTTATTAACATAAATAATATTATTTAGTACAAGTATTAGGTCTACCAGAAAGTTCTGTCCGATAATGCCGTCTCAAGTTTCAACACAAACGGAATAAACTTTCCGGTAGACCTAATATTATAAAGGATACAATTTATATGACTTACAATCTTCGGCCATCAGCTGGTCAACTGGATTAACCCACTCTACGATATCGTAACCGTTTTCTTTTGCAAGAATTTTAAAACCCATAGTCTTCCCACATCCGGATGGACCAGAAATAATAAGAATGCATGGTTTATATTCCCGGGACTTAGTTTGCAGCCAAGTTTTAAGTTCATTTTGCTTTTGCCTACTAATAGCCAAATCCAATGCTTTCTGCGGTTCGCATGCTAATAACAATGTATTCAAGCAAGTGACATTCTTTGTATGTTGCTGGTGACCGATTACGTGCACGGACTCCTCAAAACTATTACTATTTCCTGGCGGTTTGGCATGTCTATGAGAAAGTGGTTTTTTAGATGGGCCAAAATCAAATGACGATTTCAACCAACTACTATTCCTTTTCTGGAAAGTAACAATTTAGAATGATATTACTTACTGTATTACGAATAGTTATGTCTTTTAAAATTGCCTCTAAAGACGATTTCATTGCTATACCTTTGGCTCCTCCATCGGACTGATGGTATTCGATGATAATGAATATACTAGTTAATTGATAAACTTGCTGGTGAAATATTTTAACAGGAGAGGCCGGCAAAATTTGAAATCAAATGCGGTCACCTGTGACACTCAAAAGATACACACGCAAAATCACGCAAAAGCAAGGAAAAATGAAACCTGACAGCAATAAATGTCCCTACCAGTCAGGGTCGCCAACGCATAAAGTAAAAAACGTGGAAGATGGCGTTCACGGCGTTTATTTTTCTATCTTTCCTTGAACGCTTCACTATTTCACTTAAAAATTTGTGTCGAGCCAGTTCACATGAATAGTGTCGCATTTTCACCACTAAAAACGTTCGTAATACCGTGAGCTACCCATTTTTCCCATTTTCTCTAAATTTGCTTTACGTAATAGACGCCCGGTTTACTATATATTTCAGTGGTCTCGACCGCCACTAAAACTCGGATTTACTAAGTTCGGACTTGATTGGGTTAAGAAGGACGATGAAGACGCAGTCAAATGTAGTAAAAGATTTGGTGTCTCCAGGTGTCTCCATGATCGGTGCGGTCGTGTGATACTTGTCAAAAACCTGATGAAGTAATTTTTTTACCGTTACACATTGTTTAATCAGTCCCGCATTCCTCGGATCGTTCTCTCGATGTCTGCGATGGCTGATCCTAAATATGCTGACCTTCCTGGAATTGTTAGTACCTGTACATTGTTCGTACTGACAGTGTTCATTGTTAGTTTGCAATATTAATAATTGCAACGTTTTGTAGGCCTACGATCAAGCCGATGTCTACGAAACAGCTGATCTTCCGGAGTCCGATCAACTTCGAGGTTATCCTGAGGTACACTGTCCAATATGAATGTCCAGCTTGAATAACTTGTAATGTGGCAAATGTTCTTCAATTTAGGATGAGAACGATTCTATAGATAAATTACAAATCAATGCTGCAGAAGCATTTAGTAAATTCAAAGGAAAAAGAGTCGTTGGGAAGGAAGTTGATTTTTCTGATAGAATTTCTTACAAGCCACGAACGGGCTATAATGCTGCGTAAGACCGATTCCCATTACTTATCTACTTAGCCATGAAAATAAGGAAGGTCTAAGTATTTATAATTTGATTCTGTATCTTCAGCTTTGGAGAATGGGAAGTACCAGGAGAAGGTGAGACGGAAACACCCATTCAAAAATATCAAAGGCTTCAAAGTGAACTTAAGGCTTTATGCGAAGAGACCAATGGATTGAAGGTAATCGAGATTGCTTATTTTTCTTGAAGTTTAATATACTTACAAGTAGGTGAACCTTTCAGGATTTGGTTGACGACGAGGAAGAAGCTAAAAGTACCGCCGAGTTAATGGCTAAAGTTGAACAAATTGGCAAGCAATTAGATCACATGAAACTCGAACAATGTCTGAGCACTGGACTTGTCGATTCTGTCTCCAATTCACAAGGAACGCAATTCAAGTAGGTCTTGCTAATGCTTGTATTATTATTTGCCATGTTGGTTTAAACGTTGAAAATGATTTCAGACACTTGGTTGCATTAATAGAATCTTTTAAAACTGGTGGTAAAGTAAACGAGGGCGTCGAGGCGAGTATAAGTCAAAGTACAGATGCTAAAGTAGAATCAACGGAGCCTGGGATACTTAAATATCAAATGATGTATTTGCCTGAGAAAGCAAGAATGCAAGAAGTAGCCAGGATCGCACAGCTGGAGCAGAGGCTAGGTCGCCTTGAAAATGTTATTGGTGTTAATAACGAGAAGCTTGCTAAATTCACACAGGTAACATAAAACATGCAAAAAAATTGTTTAATATCGATCTTACGAGTTTAACACTTTACCAACGGTGAATTTGGAAGTAAATGGTGATCACGGGTATCGCAAAACCGATTAATAGGCTTCCGATCGGTAAAGTGTTAACATGTGAGACGTGGCATTCGCGCATACGTATGTATGTATATGCAAATGTATTTAGTGTGAAACTCTACCGAGTTTCTTGATAACGGTTCAAAGTTAATGCATATCATTTAAGATATTTCACGTCTCACCTTACATTGGTTTTATAACCACCAATGTAAGCTGTCTTACCGGTGATATCAGCTTAAAACGATTTTTATACAACGCGTAAGGATCCAGTAATGACAGATTGTTCATATTGAATTTCAATATCGAAGGCAAGGAAATAACGTAAATTTCCGCATTGGTATTCTTTGAAGCGAATAATATTTGTCAACGAAGACCATGATATAGAGAAACTAGGTATTAACGAAACGTGTTAACCGGTCGATTTGACGGATCGTGCACTATGAAACGAGATATTCTCCAAAAATGGGGTCGTTTGAAAAATTAGCATTTAGATATAATAATTCGACGCACATGATGGCAACGTAAACACGGACCAGTTGACACATTTTACACATCTGATCACTACGGCATCCACATTTCAAGAAAAACTTGAAAAATGTGGTCAAATACCCATTGAGAATTTCACGCGATCTACTCGTTTTTAACATCAAAATTCGTTATGATAAACTTGGCTTTACAGGATCCTTAAGGTGAAGTGAAACATCCTTCAAATCAGTCTATTCGAATACAACACTTTCTTTTAAGGGTATTAGACCAAACTGTCTGAAACTTTGACTCCTGATCAGCTAAAAATTGTCCTGACACATTAAAAATTTGGATTTTTCAACCAAATTTTTTAACTCAGTCTAGACCAGAACCAAAATGGCGTCGAGCTCTCATATTTTGATCAATATACAATTATCGAAGGCTCTGATATGAGAATCGAAAGGGTCAGGACAATTTTGCGATAATTTAGAACACTCTGGTAATCGATAAACTCGCATTTGAACGAGATAAAGGTAAAAAAAGTGTTGTATGCGCTTCTATGCTAAGACGATGGGAATACGAGGTCTTGGCGTGAAAATTGAATTGACCTGGAAATCACAGATGGCGCAGGGGGTCCCTCTGCAGTCAATTAGGGCCCCAGAAAGCATGAATCCAGAGGATTTCTGGAGTTTTACTTCGATTTCTTCATAATTATTGTACGAAAACGACAGGTGGAATATGCCATTCGGTACAATACACAATATAATTCGACCCAGCTGTCAATATAAAAACAAACGTCGGCAACGTAGGCATTTAGAAAAATCTTCTTTATCGACGTCGATCGAGTTCCTCGACGTTTTTCACTTCACCTTAAACTCGACTACCACGTGAACCGATGGCACTCGGACCCAATCAGATTTTAGATCACATATGTATGTAGACCGCCTTGCAGTGAAAGGGGTAAACGAATGTATCACTTTCGCCGGCAACTTACCCCCACAATTAAAGCCAATCTGCTGACTGAAAATCTGGGAGCGGGAGGTTCAATGCGAGCTTTAGATATATATGGTCAAAGAATTCAGAAGTCCCATAGAAGCCTTGATCCTGTTTTAGCGCTTGATGCTCTAAACGTTGGCTAACAAACCAGAAGTGAGGGTAAAAGAGAGATCGCATGTGTAGCCAACGATATCTCACATATGGGAGGAAGTAAGACGCACATAGAAAGGCGAGTATTGTGTGTAAGATAAAGGAAGAATGCAATTCGCTATATATCGCCATAATATGAAGAGAGATGGAGAGATGCTTACAGCGCTGCCATCCGTTGGCTAACGTACTATTTATCGAGCATCGAACGTCCGTATCCTTCTGGGCTTCTATGGAGACTTCTGAATTCTTTTGTATGGTCTAAGATCGTTTGGGGCTCAAACGGTTAATGGGGAACAATGCGATTCAAAAAAGATCAAGTTGACCGTGCTGCCACGTAACGGCGAGCAGTAACAACACTTGTGACGTAATAAGCGCCATTGCTGTGCCATGGTAGTCATGGCAACGCAATTTTGATATTAAGGGGATGTGAAAGTGGGGTCGAAGAGGTTTTGTTTATAAAACTTTTCTCCCAACTCGATTTACCGAATAGTTTGAAACCTTACAACGTGAATAGGGAGACTATAAGGAAGGTCCTGAAACTCATGTCATTTCAATTCTTTTCAAATTTGTTTATAGGTATTTCAGAAATAGTTTATAAAAAATGGAATTTCGTGAGTTTCAGGACCTACCTTAGGGTCTCCATATTCACGTTTTGAAGTATGAAACGATTTGAGACACTTCGGAGAAAAGTTTTATGAACGATTGAGCTTTCGGATGCCACTTCCACATCCCCTTAAACAGTCCTATTCCAGTAATATCGAGCGTTAGTTTTCAAAAGCCGGGTGTCAATAAAAATTTCATACTTAGAAAAAGAACTTATGGGAACATAAGAAGTCAAGGATAAAATTCCTGAAAGCGCATACCTCCGACTACTTTGAAACTTCGTAAACCCATATACTTTAAGGCGATGTGAAAGTGGCGTCGAAGAGGTTTTGTTTATATAACTTTTCTCTCAATTCGATTAACCGAATAGTTTGAAACTTTACAACGTGAATAGGGAGACTGTAAGGAAGGTCCTGAAACTCATGAAATTTCAATTCTTTTCAAATTTGTTTCTAGGTATTTCAGAAATAGTTTATAAAAAATGAAATTTCGTGAGTTTCACGACCTACTTTAGGGTCTCCATATTCACGTTTTAAAGTATGAAACGATTTGAGACACCCAGTTTGTAGAAAAGTTTTATGAACGATTGAGCTTTTGGATGCCACTTTCACATCCCCTTAATCTGCTGATTAAGAATATGATAGTGAAAATTGGCGCAAATGTTAACATTTGTTCTAGTTGAAAAAGATTATTAACAATTTTTGCAAATTTTAACATTATTAGACTTAATAGAGAAAAGTTCTAGATACAACTTGTGGCTTTTGAAAAATACATCTTTTGTTCTTTACATTTTTTTCGAAAACCGTTGTTTTTCGAGAAAAATAAGATACCTTTCTGAAATACAGAACTGGTTCATATAATTAATCTATACTATTCCAATTATTTTATGTGTGGCTGGGAAGGCTTTGCCCCCCTCCCGAGATGTATAACCTAATCTAACATAACACATTCACCACCTGTCCCCCTCCGGTTCTCCCGTATTTACCACAAAGATCTCCCGCAATTAATCATACTTTTATAGTTCAGAAATATATCTAATGTTTCATGAAAAGAAACGGTTTTGAAAAAAAAATTGATTTTATCGAGGACTACAACTTGTATCTGAAGATTTTCTTTCTTAAGCCTTTATTAATCGAAATAATGTGAAACTGCAGAAATTATTAATAATCATTTTCATCTTGAAGGTAACATTTGTTACGTAACCGAGAATTTTCGAACTCTATCTACACTGTAGACATATAGTATAGACTGAGCATCTATTATTGCCAACAATAAAGAGAATGTCTGTCTGATAGAAAGAGAGAAAGAGAATGACACTAACATGTTTCTATCTCTTTCTAATACACGGACAGAGTGGCAACAATAGATGCTCACGCCATCCTGTATGCTATGATCTACATCACATGACGTCACGACGGACAACTAGCGCTCATAGCGGGAATTTGCTCAAGTTATATGCGAGGAGGCCTCGACAGCTTCGCATATTTGTACCTAAAAATGTCAAATGTGGCTATTCAACAGCTATTCCTAATGATAGAGTGTGACGTTGATAAGTGTACAACTTTCCCTGTGTGGCTCTATTTTTTATTTTTATTAGTGTTCTGTAAAACAGTACTGTAAATATTGAACAAGACACAGGTCATGTTAGCCATGGTGATTCGTGGCCTGTTAGTATGAATTTTTACTAATTATGTATAGTTTTTTTGACAAATAATTAAAAAATCTGGCTCCACAGGGAAAATTATATTTTCGGAAGACTATAATTTTGTCCATCCAAATTATTCAAAGTACATCCTGTACGAACATTTTTGGGTGCGAAAGCTTGGAGTTTCCAAACTCCAAGCTTTCGTACTCAAAAATGTTTCCAAACTCCAAGCTTTCGTAGGTGTGAAAACGTACACAGAAAATGATGTACTATTCTATCTTAATGATCTTGCGAGTTTAAAATGCAACATTTGACGTTAAGAACTTAGGGGCATTTGCATGTACGTACGTATGTATAAGTAAATGTATTTGGCGTGAAACTCTTCCGAATTCCCTGATAACAGTTCGAAGCAATAGTATATTGTCGTCCAACGATAAAGTATCGGGCATATTTTTTTCATGTTAATGGTGAATTCTTTATTTTAGACATTTAAAAGCCAAGGACTAATAGAAGTGGTGCAACAGCTGGGAGCAAAAGCTTCGCTTTTAGATGCCAATCAAATAGACGCGATGGAGAGTAGATTAGCTTTGCTAAGCCACAAAATGGATAGCATCGCCCAAAAGAAATCTGCTTCGGTTCAGGACTCAGAACGGGATCAAAAGGTATACAATTTTCCTTAAGGTAAAGTAGAACCTTATTCAAATCGGTTGATTCAAATTAGACACTATTTTTTAAGGGTATTGAACCGAACTGTTCGAAACTTTGACACATGACTTCGGAGCACTTAAGAATTATTGTAACACTTTCAAAATTTACACTTCCGAAAAGAATTTTTGACTTAGCCTAGACCAGAACCAAAATGGCGTCAAGCTTTCGTATTTCGATAAATATATAATTATTGAAGGCTCTAACGTGAGAAACGAAAGTGTCAGGACAAGTGTACAACGATTTAGAACACTCTGGTAAACGAGAAACTTGCATTTGAACGGGATAAAGACAAAAAAGTGTCTAGTACGCTTCCGTGCTACAACGAAGGTAACACAAGGTCTCGGAGAGAAAATTTCAGATGGCTCAGGGTGTCACACAGCGGGCAGTTAAGGCAGAAACCACGAATCCTGGGGATTTCTGGAGTTTTACTTCGATTTCATTATAATTATTGTACGTAAATGGCATATAGAGTACGCTATTTAGTACAATACCTAATGTTTTTAGCTCAGAAACGACTAAAGCCACTTTTTTTGGCTTTACTTCAGTCGAATGCGAGTTTCTTGATTATTAGAGTGTCCTATATTATTGTACATTCATCCTAGCACTTTCGTTTCTCATATCAGAGCCTTAAGTAATTGTATATCGATCGAAATACGAGAGCTCGACGTTATTTTGATTCTGGTCTAGGCTAAATCAAGAATTTTTCTCAAAAATCCAATTTTTTAAATGTCAGGATAATTCTTAAGTGTTCACTAGTCATGTGTCAAAGTTTTGAACAGTTCGGTCCAATATTCTTAAAAAAAAAGTGTCTTATTCGTATCAACCGATTTCAAGAGGGTTTCACTTTATCTTAACCACAGAGTACTGCTGAAATAATTATTAATTAATTCTCACTTGGATATCAGGTGGCAGAAATATATAAGGCAGTTAAAAATACAGAAGATATAGCACAAGTTCTCCCGCAAACTGTTAACAGGATGCTGTCGCTAAACACTGTACATCAACAAGGTATGTACACTGTATTTTACTTTAGTGTCGATTTCGTCTTAGACTGTATATTGACAGTTAATTAAAAAAATCATTTTGCAGCTGCCCAGTTCAGTAAATCGTTAAAACAGTTGGAAGATCTACAAACGCAAATATCTGCAGGGTTGGAAAATAATGGAGCTCGTTTAAAAGAAGTGCAAGAGGGTTTTGCTTTAAACTTGGAAACTATTAAAACTAATCTTGTTTCCCTGGACGAACGTATAGAAAAACTCAGCAAGTGATATCATCTTTCAAATGAATTCGTTGCACTATTTAAATTTTACGCTTCAATATTTATCGATGCAAGCCACTCCCACTTTGTATACTTTCGTCAAATGATGCTTCTGAACTTGTGTTTAATGTATGGTGTCATTCTCTAACAATATTAAAGTGCTGGCTATGGAAAATGTCTTGTACGTAATCCACTCAAACTTTCTCCATGAACAACTGCTTTTGTATACATACTAATAAAAAACGTACTTCATCAATATGAAGAATAACTAAGTACAAATTGACAGATAGTTATACCTTTCCAGTTTTTTAAAATGCTGTCCAACCACATTTTAGGAAATTTTCGTCTTATAGAATTCAGATAAATATGTAATTATAAGGATGTAGTAGGATATTAAAACAGTTCAATACTTGCGACTTTTTTACAATGATTTATTTAAAACGAGTTAGAACCGCAATTTCTGGAAGAACCATTTATTTTTCCCCATTTTGTACCTGAAACAATTTTTTTTTTTTAATATACTTTTAAGATTCTCAATGGTGGAACAATCATTTATTGACATATTAAACTATTTACCTTTCTTCGAATTTAACGCGGGTCTGGAAGCGAACCTTCTTACGCTTCATGGGATCCTTCAGATCCTTGGGTGCTACTTTATCCAATGGTATATCAACGTTGTATCTTGTTGGCATCAAGTGATTATAGTTTAGCACCTATTGAAACAAAGGACAGTTACAACAAACGTCTATGAATAGATGAACATATACAATGTACAATAGAACTCACTTTAATGAAAGGTTTAATTTTAGATCGTTTATGCAGTTTTCCTTTGCCCATCCTCTTGTGCACTTTCCGAGGATACCGGTCAATTCCGGCAACCATTGCATGGCCGTACTGCTTTTCCGTTGTGCCGTCGTCATAGTTACGCATGACTATGGCTTTTCGCCCTGCGTACCGGCCACTGAGGACCAGTACGACCTTTCCAGCTTTCATAATCTTCACCATCTTGGTGAATTACTGAAACCAAACAAAAATCACTTAAACAAATCTTACAACATAATCTGTTAACATAACAATACAATTTGATTAAACAAAACTTGCAAATTGTGTAAACGTTACTACTAAGAAAACCGTTCAATACTTCTGAAATAGCTTGACGAGAGAATAAGAAAAAATTTACAGAGTATGTCAGACCGTTACAGTGGTAAACACTTTTCCGCTAACATAACCTATAAAAACTCGACAATGGGATATAAAGAACAGAACTCGAGCTCAAACTACCGTAACAATACTTCATAAGACTAACAATTCCTCCCCTCCTGATAATTTGTCCGATTACACAGAATTGTTACCACACAATCGAGTTCAAATGAAGAAATTGACAAACGTGACAATGAATCCCACGACCGCTTAAGTTATTCACCGTTTCGAGACACACATCACATAAAACTATTTACAGAAATCTGCACACGGGACAATAAAAAGGAAAACCTCGATAAAGACGTGCCACAAGAGTCCCTTACTTTTCGGATGTTCCCGGATTATTATTTTGGTTCAAAGGATTCAACTTACGTGGTTCGCGAACCGGAAAAAAAAGATCTCGGAGAAGGTTAAACTCGTCTTCCAACTGACATTAGAGTTGAAGAACTTTCGATTCGTTCACCTTTCCATACGTCGACGCATCGCGGCGTTTCTTCATGTACGTGTAGAACCGATATCGTCTCTGATTGGCTATTTCCGATGTACTGTGCGTAACTACTGGAGGATTATCCATGCAACGTAACGCTACTGTTTCGTGAGGATAAGCCGCTCCCGAGCACTGCCAGGTGGCACTATCATTCTGAGTGCACGAGCCGCACGGAATCTCCACCGACGGCAGCACAGGACCCACTCGCGTGATCGTGTCCGTGAGCAATCTCCACTAAACTATGTAGCAAACTGGAATGCTCGCAGGGTAGAGTTCGAAAATTCTCGGTAACATTAAATTGGAGAAGGTAACTGTGAAACATACCGTAAGTTACCGGGAACATTGAGAATTTAAGAGAACGTTAATTTTGTTATTTAAACTTTAGGTTTCTTCGTTTAAATAACTTTTGTTTTTTCCATCAACTTTAAAGTTCAAGCTAAAGAGTAATAATTACTATTAGAAAATATTGATTATAGGGTCGTATTTACCTTCAGCTAAAAATATTTACGTATGTACAACCACGGAAAATTCCATGCGATTTGTTTCAAACGAACTGATATTTCATTCTGCGACGAAGCGAATGGGAGGTTTTGATTGGCTACGGAGAACGTACAACGGAAATTCCCCTCTACGATGTTTCTCTATAGCAGAGATGAGCAGGCCTGCTCAGCCTGCTCATCTCTGTCTATAGCTAATCGAAACCTCTCGGTCGCTCTGTTGAAAAATTAAAATTCTCATAATTTCTCGATAAAAAAGGCTTTGGAGAAATTACCGATAAATTACCGGGAATTTCTCTTCGTTTCTGACGTAACTTACTGGATTTAGAACTCTAGTCGTATTACATTTACCCAACCCTGCGATAGAGTTCTAAATCCAGTAAGTTACGTCAGAAAAGAAGAGAAATTCCCGGTAATTTATCGGTAATTTCTCCAAAGCCTTTTTTATCGAGAAATTATGAGAATTTTAATTTTTCAACAGAGCGAACGAGAGGTTTCGATTAGCTATAGACAGAGATGAGCAGGCTGAGCAGGCCTGCTCATCTCTGCTATAGAGAAACATCGTAGAGAGGAATTTCCGTTGTACGTTCTCCGTAGCCAATCAAAACCTCCCATTCGCTTCGTCGCAAAATGAAATATCAGTTCGTTTGAAATAAATCGCATGGAATTTTCCGTGAAGTTGTACATACGTGAATATTTTTAGCTGGAGGTAAATACGACCCTATAATCAATATTTTCTAATAGTAATTATTACTCTTTAGCTTGAACTTTGAAGTTGATTGAAAAAAAAAAAGTTATTTAAACGAAGAAACAAAGTATAAATAACAAAATTAACGTTCTCTTAAATTCTCAATGTTCCCGGTAACTTACGGTATGTTTCACAGTTACCTTCTCCAATTTAATGTTACCGAGAATTTTCGAACTCTAGGTGACACTCTAATCGGAGAAATTAAATAGTGTTTGCAGCGCCATCTGACCTAGTAGACGGAAGTGAAAAACTAATTTTGCGCTTGCGCGTTACTCATTAACCAATGACATCTGTATTATTTCTTGAGAACCCTGTAGTACCCTGGTGACATCTATGATTTTCATTTTTTACCTTCTACTCAACCTATCTTCTTCTGTTTATCTATAATTTTCATATGTCTTAATCATCGAAATTTGAAATAACCTGTAATAGCGGTAATAGCTTTAATAATAGAGAATGTAACAAACTTTGGCAATAAATAATTACTAGAAAAAGTGTGTTTTTATTTCTGTTCGAAAGAAACCCAGGACATTCGATGCGTTCCTTATTACAAGAGAAGGAAAATTAGTTCTCATTTCGTTCCCAATAACGTATTCCTTTTGTACATATATTTTAAAGTTGCGTATAAATTATCATCGTTATCATCGAATTGAAATACAACGAAACACCGTAGGAAGGTATATTTATGTATGTACATATATAGATATATGTAACTTGGTAAGTAGAATGTAAATAACATTGCTGTGGGTTATGTTTGAAATTCATAGATTACTATAAAAGAAAAAATTTTTAATTTATCTCATTATTATTCATATTACGAACCCGATCGATCTGAAAATAATGATTTAAAATCATATTGCATTAACTTAAAATTTATAATCGATAAGAAATGATAATAACTAAATTAAAAAGTTAGAATTTTACAGAAATTATTATATCTGTGAAATTTTCAGCTAATAAGTAAAATTTACAGTAATATTAGATCATTTTTTCTTAAATAACAGTTTCTGAATTTCATTCAATTTAAATTTATGGCGGGAAATTTGCTAGTTCATACTTCCGGTACTATTGATCCAGAGGTCGCTGCAAACACTAGTCTCGAAGAATAACATGCGAGTGTCAGGTCCCTGCCATTCTGCTTCCTGAAAAATTGGGAGTGGAAGGTCGAATGCAAGGTCTAGATATACACGGTCTAAGGTAATCCCACGTAGACGGCAAGTAGTGTCAAGGGTGGCAAGTGCGTAGCCACGGTGTATCCCTACGCAAGGGCGGCTGCGTCACGGCGAGTCTCGATCCCCGTTCCCCTCGGAGTCCGCCGTGACGCGAGCGCTGCCCACTTCCTCCCGCCCACGATGTAACTTTCCCCCAGCCCCACTCCGAGGGCGCCACGCCGCGTTGCGATTGGACGGCGTGTTCTGGTGTCCGCCCGTTTACAGCTGATGCGATAATCGCGTTAGAGAGCCGTGTAACGCCGTCGAAGAACTCGCTCGAAGCTGCTCTCGTCGGGCGGACCTTCTGCCCCGCGTCCACGAGGAGTTATTTCTCGACTCGTACCTCGAGGTCTCCTCGAAAACGTCGCAGCGTCGCAAATCGTTTTCGGGACGAGCGTCGACCGAGACCAGTCCAGACCAGTCGGACCTCGCCTACTTACGAGTCGCTCTCTCTTCCTGGGCGACCTCGACCTCATCCCGGAACCCACGAAGACCACCCACGGTCCAGGTCGACCACGGCGCCGGAGCTCGGCGGAGCTTGGAGCCGTTGGAGACGTCGCCCTCGCCCGCCCGGAGTGGTCGTCGACTTCACTCGGACGGGAGCACGCGGGTATGGTATACCTGACGAGTGCCTGGGGTATGGGAGAGACTGAACCCCAGTGCCGTGCCACCGACACCTCTTCCGTCGCTGCCTCCTTTCTCCAGGAACATGACGAGGAAGTTGCCCTGCAACCCCTTAAGAACCAGGTGAGACCCGAAGACCCGAGCTTCTGACCTTTCTAGAAGCCCGTGACCGTGGTCCGAGAGCCTCGTTAAACTTTGTCGAATGATTACGCCAAAGGCCACTGTCTCCGATCGAAGAATTTTCTCAAACTTCGTTACGGTGACGTCGATAGAGGTCTCGTTTGTGAAACTTCTTCGAACTGGGCTTACCGATCGTTTCAAGCATTGGAACGTGGATGTTAAGGCTACAAGGATGGTCCTGACACCCAAAGATTTCAATTTTTACGTCATTTGTTTATAGATGTTTACCATTTTTTTAACACTGTGCCGCATGGGATGCGTACGCCTCGGTGTTAGTTCACGACAGCATACGCATCATTTGTTTTGACATCAAATGTGTTAAGAAATGAAATTTCAAGGGTGTCGGTACCTTTCTTATAGCCTCCACATTCACGTTGTAAAGTTTGAAATGTTTTGGTACGTTCGATTCAGAGGAAAGTTTCGTGAACAATTGATCTCTTGGATGCCACTTTTGCGTCCCTTTAATTGTGTATGTTGAAGGCCTGTATTTACGATCGAAGAACGTTGTCAAATTTCATTGAATACATTCAATGAAATTTGAATACATTGATTTCATTAAAGGCCTGTGTATGAAACCAAAGAACTTTGTGAAAATTTTTGGTAAAATAGGTATCTTAAAAGCCTTTGTCCAAAATCAGAGATTTTTTTTTTAATTCTTGGTCAAATAGGCATGTTAACCACTTGCGCTACGATTTAACTTTCGGTTGTCGTGCCGCGCTCTACAGTATAACATCCTATCAACGTGGTATACATGTTGCTGGCAGTTTTGGAACAAAAGAATCTCGACGTGCATGGCACGTCTTTATAGCGCAAGTGGTTAAAGACCCATGTCTGTGATTAAAAAACTATGTCAAACAACAACAAATAGGTTTGTTAAAGGTTTGCATCCACAATCGAAGAATTTTGTTTAAGTTCTGCGTTAAATAAGTATGAAAGACCAGTGCCTATGATGAAAGAGCTTTGTCGAATAGGTAGGTTAAAGGCTCGTTTCCATCATCAAAGAACTTTGTCGATGTTCTTTGTCAAATAAGTATGTTAAAGAGTTCACGTTCACGATGTTAGACTTCGGACGGAAGTTTTTGTTCTAAATATTGCTCACTAAAATGCAACTCAAAAGTATTGTTGTCAAGCGTGTAAAGTGAAATTAGATGGAGTTAGAGTTCGCGTTCACGATGTTAGCCTTCGGATGGAAGTTTTTGTTCTAAATTTTGGTGATTAAAATGCAACCAAAAAGTATTGTTGTGAAGTGCGTTAAGTGAAATTAAATGAAATATTGGATGCAGGAAGGATTTGAAAACAATATGGTATGACATTTGCAAGATCAATTACTGACATTTATTCTCTTATTGACAGCGGTATCGTACTATACCGAGTATTCTAAGGACTGGAATACTCCAAGTGTCATTTCGGTGGAATGGTCATAAAGAGTCAAATGGAATAAATTTGTCGGATTCATGATTTTTTAAACACTAGTCCACCAATAGCGTTGCCTGTGGCATTTAGCGACAACTAAATGTTGGGTGTAAGAGATCGCGTTGCTTATAGAAAATTCGAAAATTGCATTGCATTTATTTATAATACTCTTCTGTATATTTTTTCCACGTGAATCTGTAATGTTCTAAATTATCATGATTATATCTTTAAAGTCTTCTATTTCAATTCTGAGCTTTTAAAATATCAGAGAGAGAGAAATATCTGAGAGGT